GAGGAGGAGGAAGAAAAAGGAGGAGGAGGAGGAAAGGGGGTTGGGTTAGAAGACCTCCTTCAGCTCTGTTACTCAGTCTTCTAAGATATTTACCATTGCCCTTCAATGACTGGCTGGGGAATTCTGGGAGTTGAAGCCCACAAATCTTAGAGTTGCCAAGGTTGGAGACACCTCTTGTTCTAAACCCTGATAAAACCAACATGCCTTAGTTTGACGGTGAATTCCATCACAGCACCGCAAGAGCCCAACATCCTGAAATCCGAGAACAAAACTCATTACAACGAATACAATCATTAACCAAAGTTGCTGCTTCTGGTTCCCATTTAAGGATTTGTCCTAGTACTGAACGTACCAGGTTTCAGGTGGGAACATACAGCGGCCTTATGCTGGGTGGCAGCAAAAACAAACAACGTGCTTTGTGATTCCTTCAAACGAACCTCGGCGAAACTCAATGTTTCATTCCGTTGCCGATGTAAATGCAAACGGAGGACAGAGAGAACCAGAAGGAGCTACGTAGAAAGAAAGGGAAACTTCAATGGAGAGAACGAAAGAATATACTGAGCAGTCTGTGCTTAACCAAGGTTAATGGAATAAGTCACAATTGGCTGGATTTAAACTGTGGTTTTAAAACCACCCAGAGAGAGTTCACACTAAATGTTTACCATTCCCTAAACGGTAAACATAAGAATCACTATTGGGGGGTCAGTGTGTTTTGTGTATACAGAATAACCAAGAGCCCTGGTGGCGCAGCAGACTAAAGCACTGTTATTAACATCAGCTGCCTGCAATTACTGCAAGTTCAAATCTCACCGGGCTCAAGGTTGACTCAGCCTTCCATCCTTTCTAAGGTAGGTTAAATGAGGACCCGGATTGTGGGGGCAATAAACTGACTTTGTATAAAATATACAAAAGTATGGAGGCTATTGCTTAACGCATTGTAAGCCACCCTGAGTCTCCGGAGAAGGGCGGCATATAAATCAAATAAAAATAAATAAATAAATAACAGAGTTGGAAGGGACCTTGGAGGTCTTCTAGTCCAACCCCCTGCTCAAGCAGGAGACCCTATAACTGTGATGGCAAACCTATGGCATATCTGTGGGCACGCAAGCGTAGCCCTAGCTGAGCTCCAGCGTGCATGCGTGCACGACCAGCTGATTTTCGGGCCTTTTGGGCCCACCAGAAGTTGGGAAATGGGCCGATTCTGGCGTCCGGGGATGGGTGGGGAAGGCTGTTTTTGCCCTCCCCAGGCTCCTAGAAAGCTCTGGAGCCTGGGGAGGGCAAAAAAGGGCCTACAGGGCCCACTGTGCCATCACATGCCAAAAGCGGGGGGAACGCGGGGTGGGGGTCATGCGTGCATGCATGGGGAGGTGGGACGCATTGAATGATGGTGTGGGCATGCGCGTGCTCGACCCCCCGCGTTCCCCTCCCACTTTTGGCACGCGATGGCAAAACGGTTAGCCATCACTGCCCTATAGTGTTGTAGAATAGAGGGACCAAACAACATTCCCGGGTCAGCCAGAGACAGTTTTATTGCGCAAGGTTCAGAGCCAGATTTGTACCTGAAGCTTTGAACAAGGAAAGAACTCTGATACAACTGTTTTTATACATTTCTAAGACAAAGGAATTCGGTGAGATCATGCATTTTCCATATATGGTTAACATGAGATCATACATTCTCCATATATGGCTAACACACACCTGTCATATGATAATTGACACACTTCCTAATTACTAAACCATTAGTAAATATTATTTTTAGTTTATAAGATTATTTTAGCTTAGACAACCTTTCTTTAAATGCTTGTAGTTACTAATGGGAAATTTACTGCTGTCCTTGGGTAAATTTATTGGATTAAGTAACTCTTTGTAACATATGTCCTTATGTCATTCACAGTGAGGTCACTCAGATGTTTTCCATATGGCTGTCCTTCCGTGACATCTAGGTCTCATCAGAAGATATATAACCACTTAATGGGGTTTAGCTGATTTTTAATATAATCTCCAAGCAAGCACTTTTCTCTCTTATAATAATGTGAATAGAGAGGGTCCTTTACAGTTCATGTAGCTGACTCTGTATGATTCCTTCTTTTATCCACATTAATAGTATACCATTGGGGTAGAATTAGTCAGGTTTATTTTTCAGCGCGACGCTACTTAAGCTTCATTGTTTCATGTGCTCGTTTCTTTGTACAGCTATGGAATTCAGGCTAATCTTTTTATTCCACTCAGGCTATCCCCCCACAAAATGTAATTATCTCTTTATCAATGTTTCATGAGTTAAAATGTCATCTATCAGCATGCTGCCTCTCTCTTCCTATTCTTAGCTAGGCCCAATGAATTGTAACAGGGTAGCGCCATCTTGTGGCCTCTCTTGGAATTCTCCATGTATTCTCCACCATCCATTTAGAGTTGAAGAAGCTTCTTGGATGAGAAGCAAAAAAAAAAAAAGGTCTTCAAAGAAAAAAAAAAAATCCAGAAAGTCCAGTTGCCTCTTGGGAAACCATGACCTGGGTGACTGAGAAACTCCATAGACAATTTTTTTTTTAATTTGATTAAATGTACTTTTGTAGATTTCCTCTTAAAACGTAAAGTAGTGGCGTTTTCTTTTTAAAAATAAAAATTATTTTGGTTGCTCCCTTGTGAGATTGGTCCAGCTTTCCAAAAGAAGGAAATCCTGTGTCACGTGCCTTTGTGCCATAAGATCACCATGTGGCCTCCCATCCTCCCTTTGATCACTGGAAAAGCAGCATAGGTGGTGAGCACCTGAACTCTCATACACATCAGGGAAAGGATGCCAGGTGAGACGTACCTTGGAAGATAGGTGGTGAAAGAGAAAACTATTAAGGTCTTTTTTTTAAATAGAATAGAATAACAGAGTTGGAAGGGACCTTGGAGGTCTTCTAGTCCAACCCCCTGCTTAGGCAGGAAACCCTACCCCACTTCAGACAAATGGCTGTCCAACCTCTTCTTAAAAACTTCCAGTGTTGGAGCATTCACAACTTCTGGAGGCCAGTTGTTCCACTGATTCATTGTTCTCACTGTCAGGAAATTTCTCCTTCGTTCTAGGTTGCTTCTCTCCTTGATTAGTTTCCACCCATTGCTTCTTGTCCTGCCCTCAGGTGCTTTGGAGAATAACTTGACTCCCTCTTCTTTGGGGCAGCCCCTGAGATATTGGAAGACTGCTATCATGTCTCTCCCCTAGTCCTTCTTTTCATTAAACTAGACATACCCAGTTATGTACCCAGTTAGGTAGGGGAGAAAGGCAGGTTATGATGACTCAAAGACTTTAGGTAAGATATCTCCACCTTTCCACCCTATGGCTCATCTTTTGACAGCCCTTGGAGGTAAATTAGGTCAAGAAACAGGAATTGTGAGAATCTGAGCAACGATCCTTATTGCTATTAGGAAATTGTAGCAGAATCTTGGCAGCCTGTCAAGAGGTGGGTTTCAGCAGGTTCTGACCAGTTCTGGCGAACCGGTAGCGGAACTTTTGAGTAGTCCGGAGAACTGGTAAATGCCACATTTGTCTGGCCCCGTCCCCATCTATTTTCTGCCACCCAAATCCCAGCTGATCGGGAGGAAATGGGGATTTTGCAGTATCCTTCCGCTGGAGTGGGGAGGGAATGGAGATTTTATTAATAAATAAATAAATAAATAAATAAATAAATAAATGAATGAATGAATGAATGAATGAATGAATAAATAAATAAGATTCCATTTCCCCACTCCAGCGGAAGGATACTGCAAAATTTTTATACCGCCCTTCTCCCAAAGGACTCAGGGCAGTGTACAGCCATATTAAAACAACATATACCCACCAAATTTAAAAACAATTTAAAATATATTAAAAATTTGGCCCTCATATTAAAACTTTAATATATTTAAATTTTATTTAAATTTAAATATTTTATATTATATATATATATTATATTTTACAGTATCCTTCCTCTGCCATGCCCACCAAGCCACGCCCACAGAACCGGTAGTAAAAAATTTGAAACCCTACCACTTGTCAGAACCCTTTCTAGGGCCACTTAAACCTAACAAACTCAGGGTAGAGTTATTTTTGGATTTCTGTCTCAGGCTTCTCTCATTCTCAAGGCCTGGATAAAATGTGCTTTTCTCTCTTAATGGTTTTCCAATCCCATACCGATTTCTAGATTCGATTCCCCCCCCCCTATAATTCTTTTGGAACAGCCCAATAAATGTGTTAATTTTTTAATGCTGTTGCAGGAGTCGAGTTCACTTGTTATGCTAAACTCTGAGCTTGCTTGTTTTCTGACAGACGTTTCATTACCCAAACTAGGTAACATCATCAGTTCTACTGCAGTAAGGAGTTGGGTTTGCTCTCAGTTTATACTCTGGTGGCTTCCAGGGGTGGGCTGCTGGGGGGTTCGGGCCTGTTTTAATTCCCAAGACCCTTCCTCCAAATTAACACACCACCTGCTACTTTCCTTTTCACCTCCATACTTGCTCTAAAGTGTGCAAGTTGTAAGTCGAGGACTTCAGAGCCTTAAGGCTGAAAACAAGGCGCTATCCCTTTAAAAAGACCCATCGCACTACGTTTCCCAGAACCCTTCGCGGGAGCTCTCCGCCCAAAACTAAGCGTTCGTCCAATCAACGAGCGGGAAGGAACGCGGAAGGGGGCGGTGCGCGAGGGGCGGGCCAATCCGGAGGCGAGCTCACTCGGGGCCGAGGGAGGGAGAAAGATGGCGGCGGTGGCGGCGGCTGAGCGAGCCGGGAGCGGGGATGCAAGGCTCCGTCGGCGGCTGCTGCTGCTATGGCTGCCGCTGCTGGCTTGGGAAGCCGGGGCGGAGCAGATGGAGGAGTACCTGAAGCGGGAGCACTCGCTCACCATGCCCTACCAGGGTATGCATTGCATTGCATTGGTGGTGGGGAGCTGACTTGCTAGGTGGAAATCCGTCCGGTGCAGCTCCATGCACAAGATGTGGGATTTTTTTCCCCCCGCCTGTTGCATCTATCTCTGCCTGGGTGTTTTTTTCCCCCTACTTTCCTAGATGCATGCATATGGGGCGTGCGTGGGAACTGTCGGGGTTGCAATGCTGCCTGGGTTGAGCTTTTTTGCAGCATGCATGCATGCATGCATGCAAAAAAAAAAAAAGCGTTAGAGTTGCAGAAATGGGGGTGGGGGTGTGGCACAGAAATTACCCAGGATTGGGCCATCAGGAGGGGGCTGTTGCAGTTTGAGTGGCATTTCTAAAGTGGTGTTTCTTGGCTAGGGTGTTTTTGCAACACACAGCGAAGTATTGTGTGAATTGTGGGGGGGGGGGGGCAGAATTATTATTATTATTATTTTTAAATTTTGATTTATATGCCGCCCTTCTCCGGAGACTCAGGGCGGCTTACAATGCGTTAAGCAATAGCCTTCATCCTTTTGTATATTTATACAAAGTCAGTTTATTGCCCCCCACAATCCGGGTCCTCATTTTACCTACCTCGGAAGGATGGAAGGCTGAGTCAACCTTGAGCCTGGTGAGATTTGAACTCACAGTAATTGCAGGCAGCTGGTGCTACTTAATAGCACTTTAGTCCGCTGTGCCACCAAGGCTCTAAATCTTTTCTCATTTAGTTTCTATTGGCATTTATTATTGCTCTTAAAACGCACACGCACCTCTGATCTTGCACTACTATTCTAGTATGAAATCCAGTGCTTTTTTTTTTTTTTTTTATTTGATTTATATGCCGCCCTTCTCCGGAGACTCAGGGCGGCTTACAATGCGTTAAGCAATAGCCTTCATTCTTTTGTATATTTATACAAAGTCAGCTTATTGCCCCCACAAACTGGGTCCTCATTTCACCTACCTTAGAAAGGATGGAAGGCTGAGTCAACCTTGAGCCTTGGAGAGATTCGAACCAGCAGTAAATTGCAGGCAGCTGTGTTAATAACAGGGTGCGTAGACCACTGTACTATCAAGGCTCTTATTTATTTATTTAATTTTTTATACCGCCCTTCTCCCGAAGGACTCAGGGCGGTGAACAGTCAAAATAAACACACACACACACACACACACACACACACACACACACACACATATGTTTTCTCAGGTTTTCGCGGGTGTTTGTATGTAGGTCTTTGGTTATTCGGGTCTTCTCCCACGTAAAATTGGAAGTGTCTTGGCTGCTGAAACCCACCTCTTGCCAAGACACTTCCAATTTTACGTGGGAGAAGACCCGAATAACCAAAGACCTACATATATATATATATTAGAAAAAAAATTAATTATGCCAGCCCGGCTTGGTGAAAGAGGAAGGTCTTAAGTGCCCGACGGAAAGTATGAAGATCTGGGATTATTCTTATCCCTGGGGGTATCCTGTTCCAAAGGGTAGGTGCCCCCACAGAGAAGGCTCTCCCCCTGGGAACCACCAGTTGACATGGCTTTAGTGATGGTACCCTGAGGAGGCCCACTCTGTGGGAGCGTACTGGTTGGTGGGAGGTTATAGGTTGCAGAAGGTGGTCTCGTAGGTATAGAATACTCCAGAACCCCATTTTTGTTATTCACCTGGTTTTGGAAAGAGAGGAAATAGAGAGCTGGCACGCCACAAACACAAAGAACCGGCCTTGCAACATGGGTTTTGTTTACAGCTTGAACTTTGGCTTCATAAACTTTTCCCCAAAAGCTTTTAATTCTGCCTTCTAGGCCAGTGAGTGTTTCATAACTGACCACGTCTCACATAATGGCGGTTTTGGTCAAAAGGCACAGCTCGACCCCTGACGTCAGACGGTGTTGGGAAGTAGTTTTGACCTAGCCACAAATCGGTCCTTAACGTTCTTTGTTTTTCAGGTGTGGGATCTGGCAGTTCATCCCTGTGGGAACTTATGGGCAATGCGATGGTGATGACCCAATTTGTTCGTCTCACTCCAGATATCCAAAGCAAGCAGGGTGCTGTCTGGAACAGAGTGGTAAGGCTTAATTGCCTGAGGATGGGATCTGGGATTTCATTAGGGCTGGAATAAATTGGCAGGTACCTTCCCCGTTGATGTTATCCTATCTGTAGCAAAAAGAGGCAAGGGTGAAGCAAGTCCTTGGGGAACAAAGGTGAGGGTTGCAAAAGGGCCTGCTTTGCAAAGGTGATTTTTATCCTGCCCAGTGGAAAGGTGTGGTCCGATACTGGATTTTGCATATTGCATTAAGCTGGAATTTGTTTAGCCATGGTTTGGGAAATGAAGAAGAGTTGGTTTCACATACCGTCCTTTGGGAAAAGCGTCCTTCAGGTCGGCCAACGTTGACCGACGTCCAGCCTTCTTGACATCTTTTAGGATAGTTGTTTCTCAACTTGTACGATGTGTGGACTTCAACTCCCAGAATTCCCCAGCCGCCCATTGTAAAGTTGCTGAGGTTAAAAGGTATCAGTCAGGAGTCAGCAACCTGTGGCTCTGGAGCCGCATGTGGCTCTTTCATCCCTCTGCTGCGGCTCCTTGTTGCTGGTCGGCTCCACAATTGATAGGGCTTTCGGTTAGGACAGATAGAGGAAAAAGGACGCCGTGCTAGGAGGAGACTCTACGGTGGGGGAACCGACTTCCGGTCAACAGAGGAAAAAGGACGCCGTGCTAGGAGAAGACTCTATGATGTGGGAACTGGACTTCCGGTCGGCTCCAGAATTGAACGGGGGCTTCCGGTTAGGACCTTTGTGGCTCCTTGGGTGTTTAAGGTTGCCGACCCCTGGTATAAATAGTCCTTGACATAGTAACTATAGTTGAACCTAAAATTTCCGTTAAGCGAGGCATTTGTTAAGTGAGTTTCCCCTCCCCCCCCATGGCTTTTTTCATTTCTTTTTCTATAGAAAGCCGGAGAAAACTCAAAATTGTGAGCAGAGCTAGGGCGAATGCTTCCTGTTTTGAACGCTGCTGAGATTTCGGCTCTCAAATCTCAAGAGCATTTTAAATCTTTTTATTGCAGATATGGGATAGAGTATAATGTGGTTAAAAAAAAAAGTAAGCTTTTTAAAGTGGGGTCTAATATCTCGGTAATCTGTTTCACTGATTCTGCAGCTTTTACACTTGAGAGAATTCGCTGATCTTTCTCGAATTGTTTGCTTTCTTTTGATCAGTTCTGGCTGTTCCCTGTAGTTTAATCATGCGAGGTGGGATTAATTACTAGCCGCTAAATATAGCTCGGCTAGAAGGGGGATACACGGATTAATTGGCACAAGGAATTGGGAAAGTGCCGCTCTGGGCTTCTGAGTGTGTGTGTGGGTTGTCGTTAATTTGTAAAAACAGTTGTCACCTTTAGCTTCTAATATTTGCAAGCGCTTAAAATAAACGACTCTAGGAGAAAGGGTCTCCTGTGTTTCTCAAGACACAAAAATTAGAGGAGGGGGATGCACGAATGAAATAAAGGCACCAGCCTTTTCTCTGAAAAAGGTGCTTTTTCAAAAGGCAGTTGGACTTTCTTTCTTTCTTTTTTTTCCTTGAAGACTTTTCGCTTCTCATCCCAAGAAGCTTCCTCGGTTCTGGCAGGATGGTGGTTGTAAGGTCATCTCACCTGGTCATCTCTTGGAGAGCCGTTGAGGCCACTTGAGGGTTTATCTGGGTTTATGATCCTTCTGATTCCCTCCCCCCCACCCGCATTAATCCTTCCACCTCCCCCCACACAACCATTCTGTCAGAACTGATGAAGCTTCTTGGATGAGAAGTGAAAGGTCTTCAAGGAAAATCAACCTTTTGAAAAAGCACCTTTGGGACAACCATGATCTAGATGACTGAGAATCTCCGTAGACATCAACTTCACGTGATCAATATTCAGACGCTTGGCCACTGGTTCATATTTATGACCGTTGCTGTGTCCCAAGGTCGTGTGAGCCCCTTTTGCGTCCTTCTGACAAGCAGCCAATGGGGAAGCTGGAATTCACTTAACGACCGGGTTACTAACTTAACAACTGCAATGATTCAACTGGCAAGGAAAGTCGTAAAATGCGGCAAAACTCAGTTAACAAATGTCTCACCGAACAACAGAAATTTTGGGCTCAATTGTGTCGTAAATGGAGGACTACCTGTACTGTACCGGAAACAAAATCCACACTATAGACTGGCTGATTGGGGAAATCTGGGAGTTGAAGTCCACACATCTTTAAAAGTTGCCAGATTTCAAAAACTCTGCACTAGAACATTTTTCACGAGCCGGCGTTTAGGATTGTCATCTTCTGGGCTGTTTTGAGCTGAGGACAAACATTGTTATGCAAAACCCGCATCCCTTCCCCTCCTTCAAAACCCACTTTGTTAAGAAATGTATGTACAGTAGTGGCCAAAACTGGAAACCTTTTGGGAAAAGTGTTATTTTCTAAAACTAGCTAATAACACCACTTTTTTGGGGGGGAGTAGTCCCATAAAGTTATATATTCATGGAAAGATAATTTGATCAAAAATGTAATGCAATAACTTTTAGGAAGGATTTGCTATTAGAATAAGCAGGTACAGTATAAACAAGAAAAGTGAAACGCGTAGAAAAAACGAGATATACAAAAATGATCACCGTAGAAAAGACGAGATATACAAAAATTATCCACATGTCAGTTAAGACTTAGTTGGGTCACCTTTAGCATGAATTATGCCCCCCCCCCATTTTGAGTCTAGCAGGCCTCCCTAGCAACTCCTCACGGCCCGTTTTTGGTCCCAGGAGGCTGCAGGGAGGCCTGCTAGGCCCAAAACAGGCCGCAGAGGGGCGCACTGCTCCGTGCATCCCCTGCACATGTGTGCGTGATAACTGGACATGCACACGCATCTTCCGCATGTGCCCCGCCCCTTGTGCATACACGAGACAGACCTGAAAACCAGCTGGCTGGCGGGAGGCGCATGCGGGGTGGAGCTGAGCTGGGCGATGGGTCGCGTGCCTGCAGAGGTTGGCCATCACGGTTCTCTCTCCTTTCTAATTTGCATCTTTTTTGCTTTCCACAGCCTTGTTACTTGAGAGATTGGGAGATGCAGGTGCATTTCAAAATCCACGGGCAAGGGAAAAAAAACCTCAACGGAGACGGCTTTGCCATCTGGTACGCCAAGGATCGAATGCAGCCAGGTAAATTTTTTTTCCCAAATATATGCCTAACTTTGATTTCTGGTGCCGCAACCTCCTTGCAGCAAGCCAGCCCATCTGCTGGCAGATTTAGAAAGATCTCCTTTCCTTGGTTAGGGGTAACTTTTATACCTGTTGATACTTTTCCTTGTTTCCTTCAGTAGAACCAATGAAAAAAAAAAATTTACAGCAGTGGCCAAAATTGTGGAAACCTTTTTGGTCCATTTTTAAGTCTTTTCTTATCCCGTTTTTGAGGATTTTTTTGGCCCGTTTTCAAGGCTTTTTTTGGCCCGTTTTTGAGGATTTTTTTCAGCCTGTTTTTTCAGCTTTTCTTGGCCCGTTTTTGAGGCTTTTTCCGGCCTGTTTTTGGTTTTTTTTGTGGAAAAAATGGGCTAAAAAAAGCCTCAAAAACAGGCAGAAAAAAGCCTCAAAAATGGGTAGAAAAAAGGGCCTCAAAAACGGGCAGAAAACAGCTTTGAAAATGGGCAGAAAAGCCTCAAAAACGGGCAGAAAAAAGGCCTCAAAAACAGGTAGAAAAAAGCCTCAAAAACGGGCAGAAAAAAGCCTCAAAAACGGGCAGAAAAAACCCTCAAAAATGGGCAGAAAAAAGGCCTAGAAAATGGGCAGAAAAAAGCCTCGAAAACGGGCAGAAAAAAGGCCTCAAAAACAGGTAGAAAAAAGCCTCAAAAACGGGCAGAAAAAAGCCTCAAAAACGGGCAGAAAAAAGCCTCGAAAATGGGCAGAAAAAAGGCCTAGAAAATGGGCAGAAAAGCCTCAAAACGGGCAGAAAAAAGGCCTCAAAAACAGGTAGAAAAAAGCCTCAAAAATGGGCAGAAAAAAGCCTCAAAAACGGGCAGAAAAAAGCCTCGAAAATGGGCAGAAAAAAGGCCTCAAAAACGGGCAGAAAAAAGCCTCGAAAACGGGCAGAAAAAAAGCCTCGAAAACGGGCAGAAAAAAGCCTCGAAAACGGGCAGAAAAAAGCCTCAAAAACCGGGGCCGGAAAAAGGCCTGAAAAAGCCAAAAAAAAAGACCCGAAAATGGGGCGTGCGGAGGCCAAAAAACAGCCAGCGGGTGAGTGGGGCTTCAGCAATATTCGGTCTATATGACGCACAGACATTTTCAGCTCCTTTTGGGAGACAAAAAAGTGCGTCCCATAGTCCGAAAAATATGTTAAATATTTCCGTTTTAAAAGCCGTTTTTTGGCTTTTCTGAAGGCATGGAACATTGAAGAAATATTTGCTGAGATGGTTTGTTGTGGACACAATTTCTTGTCTATTCCAGGGCCGGTCTTTGGCAGCAAGGATACCTTCATAGGGCTGGGCGTGTTTGTAGACACCTATCCCAATGAGGAGAAGCAGCAGGAGGTAAGGGCCACCCCGGAACGGCTGTGCAGGCGGAAGAAGGCGAGTGGGGAGGGGGCATTGGGCTGCTCCTGGTTGGCCATTGAAGCTAGTCTAGAGAAAAGAAGGACTAGGGGTGACAGGATAGCAGTATTCCAATATTTGAAGAGGTTGACACAAAAAAGAGGGGCTCAACCTGTTCTCCAGAGCACCGGAGGGCAGGACGAGAAACAATGGCTGGAAACTAATCCAAGAGAGAAGCAACCTGGAATTAAGGAGAAACTTCCTAACAGTGAGGACAATTAACCAGTGGAACAGCCTGCCACCAGAAAGTTGGTGCTCCATCACTGGAGATTTTTAAGGAGAGACTGGACAGCCACTTGTCTGGAATGGTATAGGGTCTCCTATTTGAGTAGGGGGTTGGACTAGAAGACCTCCAAGGTCCCTTCCAGCTCTGTTCTGATTGGTCTAATAAGACAGTTGGCTGCCATGATGTTCCTCAGTTCCAAATCTGCCATGGCTTCCCATATGAGACCTAGGTGGAGAATTTGCCATTGGGTGCATTTTCTGCACTTCATCCTCATCTCTTCTACCTTGTACAACCCACAGAAGCTGTATGTTCAGGTTGTTTGGATCAATTTGCGTTATTGTGGGGAAGGGGAAATTTAGGCAGAATGGTGAACCCATCTTCTTCTCTCCCCTCCACCCCCCGCCGCCCCGGGTTTGGAAATAACAGCTGGCTGGCCTTTGGAGCATCAGACAAGCACTGCTCTGTGTTTTCACGCATAGTTTTAGGAAGTGAGAACTGCAGACTGTTCTGGTCACACCCAGAGCAGGGATGGGATTCAGCCGGTTCGTACCGGTTCGCACGAACCGGTAGTTGTGACCTGAGAGTGGGCCTGCCCACCTGCCCCGGTGCTATGCAGTCCTATTTAGCTGCGTTTTTTAAGCCGCGTGCACGCAAGCGAAGCACATGTACAGAAGGCTGCGCGCATGCGCGCACAATCACATTTTCGGTGCTGGGGCGAACCGGTTGTTAAATTGTGTAAAGCCCACCTCTGCCCCAGAGCCCTCTTGGAGAGGGTGAGACAGGAATAATCTGCCCATTGGGGGAGATTAAGGGTCAAAATTACCTCTTTCCTCCTTCCCTCTAATGGCTTTGGTGTTTGGGATGCTGTCTTACACAGCTGGCTATTATTTTTCCTGCCTTTCTTTGGGCTATGAGGTTGCTATATTTGAAAAGGCCGGCGATAGTACAGGTAGTCCTCGACTTAACAATGGTTCATTTAGTGACCATTCGAAGATACAACGGCACTGGGAAAAAAATGACTGACGGCCCTTTTTCACACTTACAGTGACCGTTACAGCATCCTCAGGGTCACATGATCAAAATTTCAGTCGCTTGGCAACTGACTCATATTTATGACGGTGGCCAACGTCCCGGGGAGTCATGTGATCCCCTTTTGCGACCTTCCTTGCGAGCAAAGCCAACGGGGGAAGTCAGATTCCCTTAACAACCGTGTTTCTAATTGAACAGCCGCGGAGATTCACTTAACAACCGTGGCAAGAAAAGTCGTAAAATGGGGCAAAACTCACTTTAACAAGTTTCTCACTGAAGAACATAAATTCGGGGGCTCAATCGCGGTCGTAAGTCGAGGACTTCCCGTAATATGGATTAATTGATTTGAGGATCTGAGAGTTTTTGGGGTTTTTTTGTTTCCTTGAGATTTTATGGAGAAATTCGGCTTTCTTGTGTTTTGATATATTTAGCGTGCTGTTTTTGTTGGTTCTGTTTTAGTGGAGTCACTTGAGCGTCTCTTGCGTGATAATTACTAATTGTTTGGAGTCATTTTCCTCAAGAGCCTCCTCTGCAGAACTTAGCAATTAGGAAGGTTTGTAAGAAGCCAGGTGGATCGTTTCAGCCTACGCTGGTTGGATCTTGAGAATTTGCCAGCTACCGTATTTTTCGCTCCATAAGACGTTCCTGACCATAAGATGCATGTTAGCTTTAGAGTAGGAAAATAAGAAAAAAAAAAAATCTGCCTCTGCCTCCAAGCGTCCATCTGGCATTCATCTGGCTAGCGTCCTTGCAGCCAACGGTAACGTACGGGCATGTGCTGGGGCTGTGATAACGTACTGAACTAACAGCCTGGTCAGCTTCAGTACGTTATCGCAGCCCCAGCACATGGCTCATCAGGACTCCACTCCATTGTGCTCATCACCAGTTAGGTGAACAGTGGCTGGATCCTGGCCTCCGGTAGCCCCGCCGATCAGCGGGCTGGCCGACCGGAAATGCCGCCATTGCTGCCTCCTCCGTGTCTCTGCCTCTGCCGGGGAACACCATAGCCTTCGCTGCCGAGCAGCTGATCGGTGGTTGGATCGGCCTCCCGGAATACAACCGATCAGCTGTTCCAGGCGGCGGGGATTGCCGCCGCCATTTGCTGCTGCTGCCTGTTGCCCCTATTCGGTCCACAAGACGCACAGACATTTCCACCCACTTTTGGGAGAAAAAACAGTGCCTCTTCTGGAGCGAAAAATACAGTATATCTTGGGGGGAGGGGGGGATGCTGTTTCCGAGGGAAGAGGGGGCTGTGCCAGAGATGGCACACTTCCTCGATCCCATAAGAGAACATTTAATGGAGGGAACCTGAAGTGGAATCACTCTGCCTGAACCTCCTACTGGGTGGGCTTGCTTCAATCTGCATTCTGGTATAAATTGCCTTTGTAAAAGCAGAAATTTCCCCTCCAACCCCTTCACTTCCAGGATCCCTTAGTTTTCTATCCCAGTGTCATGCCCCCGTCGGAGTCGGAGTCCGAGGGGGAAGACGAACAGCTGACAGCGGGAGAGTGGCTCCGTTGGCTGTGGAAGAAACTGGGGAAGGACAAGGGAGCGGGGGTTCAGATGAAGACCAAGGCCCACCCCCTTCTCATCCTAGGGCACGCAGGGAAGAACGGAAAAGAGAGCAACATAGGTTGCATGGCTTACGAGGGGAGGAAAGAGCCCCGAGTCCCTTCACAAGGCACACCTGGGGATGGAGTTTAAAGGAGAAGCATATGGGGGGGGGCAGTTGTCGGGAACAAACACTGAGTTCCTCTTGTGTTAACTGCTTTATCCGAGTTCCTGGCATCCTCCCAACTGGTTTGATTTGCTGCCGTGCTACTTCACTTCTGGAACTCTTTATCTTCTTGCCCTGCCAGATTAATTACTTTATCTTGCCTTGTTGGAATTATAGTTGGAAGTTTTCTGTTTATAATGTTTGGACTGGAGTATTTTCAGCCAATGGCTGTTATAGGTTTGTGGGAGAGTTTTTCTCCGGACCGGAGAGTAAAAGGGACGTTGGGGGGCAAAGATGGAGCTAATAAAGGGACTCATACTTATTCTCTGGCTGTGTTGCCTTTGTGCCACGCCCTGAGTCAACACACCCAGGGGCACCTTCCAGCCTAACCTAAACGGTGGGCCTTGGAGAAGAAGAAGAAGCAGCAGCAGCAGCAGCAGAAGTCCAGGGATTGGAAGAAGGAAGACTAGGTCAGCTAGAGACGATCTGTTGGGTGACTCTCTCTTGCTTCTGTCCCCTCCCCTTCCCTCCGGCATTGCAATAACCATTCTGGATTCCCAGGCCCAGAAGAAGAGATATTCTTCAGGAAACCAGGTACTTGATATGGTCCTTTCCTTAGATCCTTTATTCCAACCTTGTCTGTTCCATCTCTCTCTCTCTCTCTCTGCTTGCTCCTTGATTCAGCTATCACTTCTGGCAGGTAATGGGACGGCATAGCTTGGCACAGGGATTGTTGGCACCTGAGCCTTTTTCCTTTTCCTCTATAGATGTGATGATAAGAGCCGTGGTGGCGCAGTGGTTAGAATGCAGTATTGCAGGCTGACACTGCCCTCCCCTGTCAGCAGTTCGAGCCTGACCGGCTCAAGGTTGGCTTTCCACGGTCGGTAAAATGACGATGCAGATTGTTGGGGACAATCTGCTGACTCTGTAAACTGCTGAGAGGGCTGGGAAGCACTATGAAGTAGTGTATAAATCAACAGGGCACCTGAGCCATGGTGGCGCAGTGGTTAGAATGTGGTACTGCAGGCTACTTCTTCTGAGTGCCGGCTGCCTGCAATTTGGCAATTCGGTTCTCACCGGCTCAAGGTTGACTCAGCCTTCCATCCTTCCGAGGTGGGTCAAATGAGGACCCAGATGGTTGGGGGCAATAGGCTGACTATGTAAACCGCTTAGAGAGGGCTATGAAGCACTGTGAAGCGGTATATAAGTGCTGTTGCCTCCGGAGTCTGACATCAGCGAGGCACAAGAACAGCGGGAGCCTGTTCCCAGCCTGTTCGCAGAGCTGCCAGAAGGCAAGAACAATTAAGAAAAAAAAGGGCGACTCAGGAGTAAGGCTTGGAGATGATTGGCCCCTCCCATAAGACATAAAAGTGGAGCAAACGGACGTGAGCCTTTGCAGGAAGCAATTAGTTCATATAGTCAATTCAAGCTCTGAGAAGTCTGTTTGGCCTTGCAAAACTAATTGACAATTAGGTCTCTGGCAGCAGTTTCAAGGGAGATAAAGATGGGTGCTTATCAACATTACCCTAAACAACTGTGTCCACTCGAGCAGACAATCTTTATCTTTATTTGATTTGTATACCGCCCTACTCCCGAAGGACTCAGGGCGGTGAACAGCCAAACAGTAAAATACATAAATACAAAATTTAAAAACAGGATAAAATCGAATTAAACAATTTGGCCCAGACAAATTAAAAGACCCCAATCATTTAAAAACAGATTAAAATTTGCATATTAAAAAGAAAAGAGGGAAAAGATCAGGCCAGGCCCGCCTGGTGAAATAAAAAGGTCTTTAGAGCGCGGCGGAAGGTGCGCAGAACCGGGATCCTCCGTATCTCCGGGGGGAGCTCATTCCAGATAGTAGGTGCCCCCACAGAGAAGGCTCTTCCCCTAGGGGCCGCCAGTCGACATTGTTTGGCCGATGGCACCCGGAAGAGCCACTCTCTATGAGAGCGTACCGGGTGGTGGGAGGCTATTTGTGGTAGTAGGCGGTCCGTAAGTAGCCAGGTCCTAAGCCATGGAGCGCTCTAAAGGTGGTAACCAACACCTTGAAGCGCACCCGGAAGACCATCAGGAGCCAGTGCAGCTCGCGCAGGAGAGGTGTTACATGGGAACGCCATGTCACACCCATTACCACCCGCGCGGCCGCACTCTGCGCCAGTTGGAGCCTCCGGGTGCTCCTCAAGGGGAGCCCCATGTAGAGATGTAGACAACATCTGTCGGAATTTTCACAGACTGTGAATCGTTACGGGCTGTGAATGACCGTAATTCACAGCCGTCTCAATAAAAGAGGGTTTTTTTGGGGACTAAGATTGTGATTTATGCTTTCTCAGGAAGCCTAGGTCAGAACAGGCTTGGGGAACCCTACGCTAGGCCTTGGAAGCTGTTGCTTGCTTGCTTTCTGTTCTTGCTTTCCTCCTGTCCAAACTCTGGCTTTTTCTGACATCACAGTCATTCTGCCAAATGCATTTATACGGCCGTCACCATCTGGCTGAATTATTTGGTTCCCAGTTGTTTTGAGCTGCCTTGCTTCCCAACACATCTCATCCTGGTCTCAGCCTCTCCAGCTGGGCTCCGTTGCCTCCTCCCTCGCATGGTTGAATGTGAACTGGCCTGTGTGAAAGTAGCTGTTCGAATGGCAACGCGGTCTCTTCCTTCTGTTCTTTCTCCAGCGTGTCTTCCCGTACGTCTCGGCCATGGTCACCAACGGCTCCCTTGTCTACGACCACGAGAGGGACGGGAGGCCGACCGAACTCGGGGGTTGCACGGCCATCGTCCGCAACCTGGAGCACGACACGTTCCTGGTGATCCGCTACGTGAAGAGGAGGCTGACTGTAAGTGTCTAGGGTCTGCAACTCTCAGAGCCATGGTGGCGCAGTGGTTACAATACAGGCCAACTCTGCCCACTGTCAGCAGTTCGATCCTGAGCGGCTCAAGATTGACTCAGCCTTCCATCCTTTTTTGAGATCGGTAAAATGAGGACCCTGGTTGTTGGGGGTAATAGGCTGACTCTGTAAACCGCTTAGAGAGCCCTAACCCTATCATCTACTTATATCATCTCTCTGTCATATCTATCATCCCCCTCTCTCTCCCCCTCCCTCCCTCCCTATCTGTCTCATCTTTTCCTCAATCTCTCTCTCTGTCTGTCTGTCTGTCTGTCTATCTATCTATCTATTTAATCAGATCTGTCTCATCTGTCTCATCTTTCTCTCAATCTCTCACTTTCTCTGTCTATTGATCTGTCTGTTTGTCTATCTGTCAGTCTCTGTCTACTGTCTGTCTATCTTATCAGATCTGTCTCTGTCGATTATCTCCCTCCTTCCCTTCCTGTCTCATCTCTCTCAATCTCTCACTTTCAATGTCTGTCTGTCTTTATATTATCTATCTATCTATCTATCTATCTATCTATCTATCTATCTATCCATCCATCCATCCATCCATCCATCCATCCATCCATCCATCCATCGATCCAATCAGATTTATCTGTCCATCCATCCATCCATCCATCCATCCATCCATCCATCCAATCAGGACTCTCCAGGTAAGCTTTGGAAAGGATGAAGCCAAAAATGAGCCTTTTCTCGTTTTGACTTGAGGTCTTGCTCGACATTGATGGAAAGCATGAATGGAGAGATTGCGTTGACATTCCCGGAGTCCACTTACCACGCGGATACTTCTTCGGGATTTCTTCTGCCACTGGAGACCTGTCAGGTATTGTTCAGAAGCCCAGCATAGCTAGAAGAATTTTTCCTACTGTTTTTACTTTGGGAGAAGATCCTTAAAAACTAGTGATGGTTGTCAACTTGCAAAGCATCCCTGTCCTGCTCTCGAGTTGCCATAGGCCAGGGGGGGAAGGGAAACCGGTGAAACGGCACAGTAGCCAAAGACAGATGCACATTCCACGCTTATCTCTCTCAAGGCTGTATCCCAGGGTTACCTACAGCAGCTGAGGGGAGTGACCTCTACAACCCGTAAAATTGCTCCGTTGGCGAATGTGATTGATGACACACCCTGGGAGGAGGGGGGAAACAGGGTCATAATTGGAGCGAAAATTACGTAGGGTCAGAGCTGGCTTCACTTGGGAACGTGCCGACATGAAGCTCCTAATAAATAACTGGATTTCTTTTGAAGCTCTGCTCGAGGCTCATGATTTAATTAGGGCATCGATGGGAACCCTGACAGCGGTCATAAGTCAAGGACTACTACTTGGAGACTCATAGGAGTTGAAATCTACAACATCTGGACTATATTATTTGAAATCCAGTGTTTATGGAAGATATCAAGAATGGTGGGAAGGGTGCTATGAAAACCCCCCCAGAATTCTGGATTTTTCTTCTACAGGTAGTCCTCGCCCTACGACCATAATTGAGCCCCAAAACATACATTGCTAAGTGAGGCATTCATTAAGTAATTCTTGCCGCGTTTTACGAACTTCCTTGCCACGGTCATTAAATGAGTCATTGCAGTTGTTCATAACCTGGTTCCCAAATTGACTTTGCTCATCAAAGGGGATCACATGACCCTGGGACGTTGCAACCGTCATAAATACGAACCGTCATAAATCACGTGACCGCCAGGAGGCTGCAGTGGTCTTAAGTGTGAAAAACGGTCGTAAGTCACTGTTCTCAGCGACGTCGTAACTTTGAACCGTCACTAAATGAACTGTTTGGAAGTCCTGTAGTTGGAGTTGCACATTGTGCTACGTTTTAAGGCAGAGGCCTTCAAATTTGGCAGCTTTTAAGACTTGTAGACTTCAATTCCCAGAATTCTCCAGCCAGCATAGCATAGTATAGCATAGCTGGCTGGAGAATTCTGGGAATTGAAGTCCACAAGTCTTAAAGCTGCCAAGTATGGCGACCCCTGTTTTAAGGGATCCGCACAGCCGGATTCACAACAACATACCAAATCAAGGCCACAAAAAATCAGCTGATTTTTTAAAAATCAGCACCACTTAGTGGTTAAGATGCTGAACTCTACGGGGGGAGATTCAAGGCCACAGTTTCAAGTCCAGCCTTCAGCCACTGAGCCTATTGTATGAATAAATCCTAATTTTTTAAATTCTAAACTGACGAAGTTTAGTTGGGTATGTCTAGTTTAATGAAGAGAAGGACTAGGGGAGACATGATAACAGTCTTCCAATATCTCAGGGGCTGCCCCAAAGAAGAGGGAGTCAAGCTATTCTCCAAAGCACCTGAGGGCAGGACAAGAAGCAATGGGTGGAAACTCGTCAAGGAGAGAAGCAACTTAGAACTAAGGAGAAATTTCTTGACTGTGAGAACCATTAATCAGTGGAACAAGCTGCCTCCAGAAGTTGTGAATGCTCCAACGCTGGAAGTTTTAAAGAAGATGTTGGATAACCATTTGTCTGAAGTGGTGTAGGGTTTCCTGCCTAAGCAGGGGGTTGGACTAGAAGACCTCCAAGGTCCCTTCCAACTCTTGTTATTCTAAACTTTTAAATCTCAAAAGCCGGAGCAAAATTCAACAGCCAGCTTAACTGAGAAAGAGATTTGGTGAATGGCTCCTAGTGGAGCCCTATCCTCATCATGTCCCCCTTCCTCTTTGAACTCAGACAATCATGACATCATTTCTCTGAAGACATACCAGCTGACGGTTGGCCGGACGCTGGAAGAAGAGAAGCGTGACAAAGAAGTCTTCCTTCCTGTGGTGGAGAACATGAAACTCCCTGGCAGTAAGTAGGATCGTTAATTTCACCCAATCGGCAGACGCAAGGAGGTAATTAATTATTGATTAATTATGCATAATGCATAATTCATTCACAATGTATGACCCATGAAATGTGGAACTGCCTACCTGTTCTGACTTAGGCTTCCTTAGAAAGTAAAAAGCACAATCTTAGTCCCGCAAAACCTCTTTTATTTATACAACTGTAAATTATTTTCATTTACAGTCCTGCAAGGCTTGATAAACAGTCTTTCAGAGGAAGGTTATCAACACCCACCTTATCTCACCTGGAACGCTGCCAGAGAGCTAATTTCCAGACGCAGGGCAAGGCCAAACTTGGCGCAGAGTCACAAACAGAAGTTTCAACTCTTGAATCGGCCAAATGAACTAATTGCTTCCTGCAAAAGCTCACGTCCCGTTTGCTCTTCTTTTATGCCTTATGGGAGGGGCCAATCATCTCCAAGCCTTACTCCCAAGTCGACCCTGTTTTCTTAATTGTTCTTGTCGTCTGGCAGCTCTGCTGGGAACAGGCTCCCACTGTTCTTCTGCCTTGTGGTTCTATTGGTGTGGCTTGGTGGGTGTGCTAGGGGAAGGATACTGTAAAATCCCCATTCCCTCCCCAATCCAGGGGAAGGATACTGCAAAATCCCCATTTCCTCCTGATCAGCTGGGACTTGGGAGGCAGAGAATAGATGGGGGCAGGGCCAGTTAGAATTTTTACTACCGGTTCTCCGAACTACTCAACGTTTCCGCTACCGGTTCTCCAGAACTGGTCAGAACCTGCTGAAACCCACCTCTGATGTGTGTGTATTTGGGACAACCGTTGACCTTGATGACCGAGAACCTCCATGCTCATGAACTAGAGATGGTCCTTCTAGCTGAGTCTGACCTCTGAACTCTTCTCCTTTGTAGTGATGACACCGATGGAACCCATGAGTGGCCTTGCTCTCTTCTTGATAGTCTTCTTTTCGCTGGTGGCCATCGTCTTCGCCATCGTCGTTGGCGTGATCGTTTACAACAAATGGCAAGAACGGAGCCGGAAACATTTCTACTGACCCGCGGGCCTCCTCCTCATGGATTCCTCCCGTCCTCCTTGCTTTCTGGACAGCCATCAGCAAAGGGGGGAGGGGATCATAGAAACAGGCAGCTCAACTCGGGAAGCCCCCCGTCCGGGGGGTTGGGGGGAAAACTTCTGGCTCCTAAACACAGGGATGACATTTGGACCGGTGGTCTCCTTGCGGTGGTGAGACACCACCGTTATCTCTGCTCTTCTCTTTGCCTTCCTTGAACTGAAGTTCTCCGCACTGGCGTTCGGTGGGACGTTTGACGGGCTTTCGTCAGCCTCTCCCCGAGGATGTAGCACACACTGGGCCCTCTGTGGACTCGTTTAGGGGGGCGGACATTTAATGAAAGAGATTTGGAGCTCCTCTAGTGGAGGAGGTCGTCGGAAGTTGGGAAAACCGTGGTTTGGGGAAATGTCAAGGTAGCAGTGACGAGGAAATTGGGAAAACGGGAATCGGCAGTAACGAACTGAATGTTTCTTTGGGATGCCTTAAGTAGCATAATACTGCCTGGAGGACAAAGGCCGAAACCCTCGTAGCTTAAAAGAAAAACCAAGGATCTTATTTTGCAACCCAATTTCTTTTCTTCTTGTCTTTATAGATCAGGAGAAGCATCATAGGGAAACCACTATACTGCTGAATCAACCGACGTGAATCTCTTTGCTCCTTAAGCACAATTCCCTCTTCCTTCTCCATTTCTTCCTTCTTCTGCTTCTCCCTTTTTTTCCTTCTCCTTCCCTCTCCATCCACTTCTTTCTCCTTTCTCTTCTCCGTTTCTTCCTTCTCCTCTTCCATCCATTGCTTCTATTTCTCCGTTTGTTCTCTTTCTCCGTTTCTTCCTCATCCTCTTCCATCACTGCTTCTACTTCTCCGTTTGTTCTTTCTCCGTTTCTTCCTTCTCCTCTTCCATCCATTGCTTCTACTTCTCCGTTTATTCTCTTTCTCCGTTTCTTCCTTCTCCTCTTCCATCCATTGCTTCTACTTCTCCCTTTGTTCTCTTTCTGTTTCTTCCTTCTCCTCTTCCATCTATTGCTTCTACTTCTCCCTTTGTTCTCTTTCTCTGTTTCTTCCTTCTCCTCTTCCATCTATTGCTTCTACTTCTCCCTTTGTTCTCTTTCTTCTTCGTTTCTTCCTTCTTCCTTCTCCTCTTCCATCCATTGCTTCTACGTCTCCATTTGTTCTCTTTCTCCTTCCGTTTCCTCCTTCTCCTTCCTCTCCCATTTCCCCCTCCCATCTGTCCTCTTTGACATTTTTTGGCTGCCTCCATGGTCTCGTCTGCTTGCATGTTTTTTCCCTGGGTGAAATGAGGTGGCCCTTGCCGAAGGATGACGCTGTGGGTTTTTGCTGTGCTTCCAAGCCATCCTTTGAATGTTTTTTTGAGGTCAACATTTGGAAAACTGTGAAGCTTCTTTGGCAGCTGGTGGGATTTAGAGCAAAGGGGGGGGGGTATTGTAGGTTAAACTACTTCAAAAGATGGTTTCATCCACTGATTATCTTTGCATTGTTCAGGAATGAGCAGCTCACCAAGAGTTAACAGTAGAACCCGTAAATTGGGCACCAAACGTAACCTCTAAAATCTCCCCGAGGGCATGCTTGGCCTCAGCGGGGTGGGGGGGGCTGGCAGATTTCAAGGGAAGGGAAAGTTAGCATACAGAGTGGCCCAACCTGGGATTTTTCTAATAGTAAACACTTATAAGCTGCTTTCTTAAGACAAAAAAAAAATGCTGCTAACTGGGGGGTGCCAGATTTTCTGAAGCCAGCTTTTCCTTGTTATTCAGGGGAATCTCATCTCACGTCATCTCTCTGCCTGTGTGCCTGATCTACCAAGCCTCTTTAGTTCTTCTTCTTTATCTTTATCTTTATTTGATTTATATACCGCCCTACTCCCGAAGGACTCAGGGCGGTGTGAACAGCCAAACGATAAAATACATAAACACAAAATTTAAAAAACAGAATAAAACCGAATTAAACAATTTGGCCCAGACAGATTTAAAACACCCCAATCATTTAAAAACAGATTAAAATTTTCATATTAAAAAGAAAAAGGGAAAAGATTAATTAATTAAATTAAATTAATTAATTAATTTAATTTATTTCTGCCCCTCTGCTGGCAGATTTCTTCCTCCTAGATCAGGGGAGTCAAACTCGCGGCCCGTGGCCCGGATGCATCATGCGCTGGCCATGCCCACCCCCGGAAAAAGTTGCGATACGTCATGTGACGCTGTTGATGCCGCGAATTTGACATCCCTGTCCTAGATCTTTTCCCTTCCTCCCCTTCCTTCCTTCCCTCCTTTCTTTCTTACTCCTTTCTTCCCTCCCTTCTTCCCTCCCTCCCTTGAGGTTAGAAGGCAGTATTGCAGGCTACCTCTGCCCACTGCCAGCAGTTTGATCCTGAGCAGTTCAAGGTTGACCCACCCTCCCTCCCTCCTTCCTTTTTTCTTTCCTTCCTTCCTTCCTTCCTTCCTTCCTTCCTTCCTTCCTTCCTTCCTTCCTCTTTTACAAGAGAGGAGCTGATTGATCTTCAGGTAGTCCTTGAGTTACAGCAACAATTGGGACAGAATTTGCTGTCGCCATGCAATTGCAGAGCGTAATGTCTGCCTTGCTTACTGATGGCACCTCAGGCAGTCCTGGATTGCTGTCTCATCACAATCCCAAAACATGCAGGTCATTAAGTGGGAAATGGAGAGAGTCCCAGGGGAGGAGCAGGCAAGCATTGCGTGCGAGTTGGGAGGCTGCGGTGTGGCGTGAACTCAGGGAGGCTGGGAAAAGCGGGTGTGGGGAACGTGGGTGCAAGTGCAAAAAAGCTCAGAGAAGGAGGATACTAGTAGGTGCGAGCGAGCAAAGCGGGAAGGAAGGCACAGTGTCAGCAAAGGAAGGCTGAATGGGAAACTTACCCGATCAATGTTTTACTTCCCTCTGGCTTCCCCATTGACTTTGCTAGTGGTAGCTGGCAGAGAAGGTCAGCAACAGTGATCACGTGACTTCAGGATGCCACAACCGCTCCTAAGGTGAGCTGGTTGCCAAGCATCCTAATTTTGATGAAGTGACCACGGAGGCCCTACAATGGCCAGAACTTTGAGGACTGGTCCTAAGTCCCTTTGTTCGGTTGGTGGGTTTCTCCTGGTTCGGGCAAACTGGCGGTGGCAGGAGGCTCCGCCCACCCGGCCAGACATCATCAAAAATGCTCTGCGGAAGTGCTGCGCACTACCGATAGCGAACTGGTAGCGGCAGTGCCACACCATAACTTTGAACGGTTGCTGAACGAACGCTCGTAACTCAAGGGCCACCTGAATCTCCCATCAACGTAACTGTAGATCAGGGGGTCTCCGAATTTGGCAGTTAAGACTTGTGGACTTCAACTCCCATGCTGGATGGGGATTTCTGGAAGATGAAGATCACAAGTCTTAAAGTTGCCAAGTTGGGAGACACACACACACACTGCTGTAGATGATCCCAGCTGGTAAATTCATGGCTTCTGGAAATGTTGTGGTGATTCTGCGTAAAGAAACCGATAGTTGCCTTTTAAGAAAGTGTGGTCAGTTCTGCGATCACAACCTTTGTTTTTTGTGACGGTCTTCCACTCTTTTTTTAATCTGTCCATTGTATATCTCTGAGCGGTGCTAAATAATCCGAACCGGCTTCTTACGTTGAAAATATAACTTTTGGGGGTGGGTGGGAAAGAGAGATACATTTCCTCCAATTTCATCACGGTTGTCTCTAATCTCACCTATTGGCAAATCTTTTTTTTTTTTCCTTTTACTTTTCAAGGATCAGTAGCATTTTGTAATGAAAGGTGTGTTAACTTCCTTCGTTGAAGTACCTCAAGAAAACAGTGATACCGTATTTTTCGGAGTATAAAACGGACTTTTTCCCCCCCTAAAAGAGGGGGAAAATTTGGATGCGTCTTATACACCGAATGTAGCCCCACCCATGAGGCCAAAAACGTGAGGCACGGACGTGACGATGGTCTGCGGCAATTCCTGCAGCCTGGAACAGCTGATTGGGGGTATTCCGGGAGGCCGATCCACCCACCAATCAGCTGCTTGTGCTGAATCAGGCTGCAATATAATGTGCTGAAGCTGACTGGTCGCTATTTGCTGCAAGGACGTGTCAGAGTTTGCAGCAGCAATTACATTTAAGTAACCAATTCAGCAGGATTCAATAACTTCTCTTTATATATAATATAACACATGAAGTAAATATACAATACCAAAAGCAGGTTTTCTGACGTGATAGTAAATACAAGCAAAACGCAAACAGAGGAGAGGAGTTTCAGTTTTAGTTTCAGAGCTCAGCACAGCATGCAGCTTTAGTACAGAACGGTTGAGCTAAGCCACGCCCAGGCTCCTTGCTGTCTCCTTGTTGCTCACACAGCAAATACTGTTTCAGTTTCCAAACAGCCCTCAACTCACACACACACACTGACAGGATGCTAGCCAGATGAATACTGATGGATGATAGTTGGCAGAGGCAGAATTTTTTTTTTCTTATTTTCCTCCCCAAAAACTAAGGTGCGTCTTATACTCTGAAAAATACGGTATATACTGAACAGAGTCGTCATAAGGCTTTATGTAGCTAGTTACATGATAGAGCGAAGCCAATTCAGAATGAAGGTTCTGCCTTTTTTGGCCTAATCATATGGACAGTGCCAGCTTGTGTGAACAGACTGCGCTATTTTGTTCAATTTGTCTTCTACAGGTTATCTTCCAAATAAGTTGAAGCATCCAGAATTTGGGGATGAAATTCCTGGACAGCAGGTTCAGGGATAATTGGTTTTGGCAAGCATGTTCATGGGCAAATATTGTTAAAGGAGGCAGATTTTGCTTTTTTGGGGTGAACAATATTCACACACCGTTTATAAACTAAAGCGTGAAGAAGTTTTCACATCTTCAGAATTCATCACGGACCATGAAGTTGCTTGCTAGTGAGACAGGCGGCATATAAATTTAATAAATGAATAAGAATAAGTAATACAGGGGTAGTACCAAAGGTACTTTTTTCAGGAGGCAACAACTTCCTTGGTTTTTCTTTGAAGATGTTTCGCTTCTCATCCAAGACGCTTCTTCAGCTCTGGATGGTGGGGGATGGAAGGATTTATATTCCTTGCAGACAGGTAAATCCTTCCGTTCCCCATCATCCAGTTAGAGCTGAAGAAGCTTCTTGGATGAGAAGTGAAACGTCTTCAAAGAAAATCCAGAAAGTCCAGTTGCCTCTTGAAAAAAACACCTTTGGGACAAGCATGACCTGGATGACTGAGAATCTCCATAGACAATGCAGTGGTACCTCAATACACATTGTTAATTGGTTCCGGGAGGCGCGATTAGTACCCAAACAATTGAGTACCAAACAAATTTTTCCCATAAGGAATAACGCAGTGAGTCACGAGGCAGCCGACTTCGGCAAGTTCTAGCTTGTGCGTTGGGTACCAAACAAATGATGAATGCCGGGACAAAATGTTTGCATCAAAATGCGTTGAGTACCAAATTCAAGGAGTTTCAAAGCAGTTGAGTAACGAGGTAACACTCTAATGGAAAACTACTGTATTTTTCGGAGTATAAGATACACTTCCCCCCCATAAAAGACGGTGAAAATTTGGGTGTATCTTATTCACTGAATGTAGCCCCGCCCACCTGCCGGCCCCCATCCTTTGGCCTCTGCCTCCCAGCAATTTGCCTCCTTATAGCAAACAGCCCACTTCAGCACAGCCTGATTAGCAGAAGCAGCTGATTGTGGTTGGATCGGCCTCCTGACCATCAGCTGTTTCAGGCTGCAGGGATTGCCATTGCCTATTGCTGTGCGCCCCATTTGCTGCAAGGAGGCAAATTGCTGGGAGGCAGAGGCAGATTTTTTTTCATGTGCTAATCAGGCTGTGCTGAAAATGAAACTGAAACTGAATCAGGCTGTTTGCTGCAAGGAGGCAGATTTTTTTCCCCTTGTGCTAATCAGGCTGTGCTGAAACTGAAACAGACTGTTTGCAGTTTGCTGCAAGGAGGCAAATTGCTGGGAGGAAGAGGCAATTTTTTTTTCTTGTTTTCCTCCCCCCAAAAGGTAGGTGCGTCTTATAGTCTGGAGTGTCTTATACTCCGAAAAATATGGCAAATCAAAAAATTGGGGGAATGGGGGAGACACCCTGATAGTTGAAACATTTCTACTTTTAGCAATTCCTTAAGTGCATGTTTTTCTTCTCCGTTCCTGCGATAAGTTTTGAACATTTCTTGTGCTGCACTCAGATTATAAACTGCTGTTTTTAAAAGGATATATTTTTTTAAATCTATTGCTATAAATATATATTGTGCCCAGCTACCAACTAAGGAGATCAGCAGCAAGTAGCTAAAAACCATTCTACTGCCAACGGAGCTGCCCATGGGATTATTGTTATTTATACACACGAAAGACTGATTTTTAGCTTTTTAGTTTTTATCTTTTGTTACATTACACACGACCACTACTGCATCAAACAATCTTATATCAGGCTGTTTATAGATTTTCCCTGCATCCCAGTGGGTGTTAGTTTTGTCTCTTACAACACGGATAAAAGCCTGCCAATCCTAATAAAATAATTTTTCCACTGTTTTTTTTTTAATGTGAATTTTATCAGAAATCTTCTCAAGCAGAACAATTGACGCACTCTAACGAAACAATTTTTTTTAAAACGATCAAGATATTTTCACCAACTTTGCAGCTAAAAGCAGGTAAAAAAAATGTTTTTCTCTTCGCAATAAATGTTTTTTATTCCTTCTGCGAAATAGGGCTGATAAACCCAAATTTGATGAGAAGTCGTGTCCTTTACTTCGTTACCGTTTTGTGAAAAAGACAGGTTGCGAATTATTGTACAGGCCGTCCTTAACTTAAAACCACAATTGAACCCCCCAAATTCTGTTGCTGAGACAGTTATTTAGTGAATTTTGTCCTATTTTACCACCTCTCTTGCCACAGTTGTTAAAACTTAAATATGTTAAAAGTTGTTAAACTTGTGAATCACTGCAGTTGTTACGTTCGTAACCCAGTTGTTAAATGAATCTGGGTTCCCCATTGATTTTGGTTGTTAGAAGGTCACAGAAGATGACCCCGAGAAAACTGCAACCGTCATAAATACATGCCATTTGCAAGGGTCTGGATTTTGATCATAAGAACTGTTGTCGGAACGCTGCAACAGTTATGTGAAAAATATAAGTCACTTTTTTTCAATGCTGTTAACAACTTGGAACAGTTACTGAATGGATGGTTTTAAGTTAAATAACGACCTGGGTTACCTTAATTTAAATGCCATTAAAATTAAAAGACAATCTGCGATTTGAGGTAGCTTTAGCAGCAACTTTTACAGGATGTCTACATTTCAGGATTCCCTGAGATGTCACGTTCTCCATGCAAGATATAAGAGGCCGTTTTTCTAGCCGTTTTCAGGGTTTTCCCCCCCCTTTTAAATTTCACTTGCGAAGCATGACAAATGATGTCATTGCGCAAAATGGCGTCAACAATAAGCCGCTAATGATTCGTATCATTTGCTCCCTGGCATTAGGGTGCGCGTAATGCTGTCCAGTCGTCCGTTGGACACCTAGGATCGTGATGGCGAACCTATGGCACACATGCCCCATGTGGCACACGTAGCCATGTCGGTGGACACGCGAGCTCAGCCGGCTAGCTGATTTTTGGGCCTTCTGGGCCCACCTAAAGTAGGGAAACAGGCTGTTTCTGGTCTCCAGAGGGCCTCAGGGAGTGGTGGGGAAGGCCCGTTTTTCTCTCTCCCTAGGCTCCAGAGCCTTTCTAGGAGTCTGGGGAGGGTGAAAATGGCCTTCCTCACCCCCCCAGAGGCCCTCCAGAGACCAGAAACAGCCCGTTTGCCAACTTCCAGTGGGGGATGGCTGTTTTCGCCCTCCCCAGGTTCCTAGAAAGGCTCTAGAGCCTGGAGAGAGAGAAAAATGGGCCCACCGGGCCATCGCATGCCAGGAACTTGGGGAGCATTGGGGGGGGTCGCGTGTGGATGCGTGGGGGGCAGGGCGCATAGAATTATGGGTGTGGGCAAACACGCATGTGACTTCCACACACTCCCGGCACGCGATGGCAAAAAGGTTAGCCATCATTGACCTAGGATAACTGGATTAAAAAAAAATATAGACACGCGAATTGTCTAACCCAATATTCTTCACTGATGCTGTCCAGATACGTAGAGACAATCTCCTTTAATTCTTTTGATGATGTGGCTGAAGTTCCTAATGTCTGGAAGTTAAGGGATTTGACCTTGTGTACTTTTGGAGACGTTAAGTTTTTTACTATTTATTGTGTTAGCTTTGCTAGACTAATATTCTTCCTTTCAGGTGCTCAAGCCAGTGTATCGTGTTCTTCCATCTTTTTTTCCTTCTAATAAGAATCCTGTAGAGAGACGCGGTAACTCAGTGGCTAAGACGCTGAGCTTGTCGATCGAAAGGTCGGCAGTTCAGTGGTTTGAATCCCTGGTGCTGCGTAACGGGGTGAGTTCCCGTGACTTGTCCCAGCTTCTGCCAACCGAGCAGTTCGAAAGCCCGTAAAAAATGCAAGTAGAAAAACAGGAACCACCTTTGGTGGGAAAGGAACAGTGTTCCATGCGCCTTTGGCGTTGAGTCATGCCGGCCACATGACCACGGAGACATCTTCGGACAGCGCTGGCTCTTCGGCTTTAAAACAGAGATGAGCACTGCCCCCTAGAGTCGGGAACGACTAGCACATATGTGCTCAGGGAACCTTTACATTTAAGAATCCTGTGAGGTCGGTTGGGCTGAGAGACAAGGAATAGCTCAAAGTCATTCCCTCCTACCATGTTTTCCCGAAAGTAAGACCAGGTCTTATATAAATTTTTTGCTCCAAAAGACGCATTAGTTGAATTTTTACTACCGGTTCTCTGAACTACTCAAAATTTCCGCTACCGGTTCTCCAGAACTGGTCAGAACCTGCTGAAACCCACCTCTGGTGTGCGTGTGTACATCCAGACAAACTCCAGTTTGAAATATATATACACACACAAACACAATTTCAAACTGGAGCTTGTCTGGACTGACTCCATGAAGAATGAATGGCCAACCTACCAGCTGGCACAAATCATGCTGAAAAATTTAGGAGCATATAGGAACAGTATTTCCTATATATTCCTTTGGATAACAAAGCAATGTTGCCAAATATACTACATCAAACTGGCCCTCCCTTTTTAAAGGCACCTCAAAACGTTACAAAGGACACCCGTCACACCTGACACTTTTGAGAGTTTTTACTCTTACTATGCAACACCCGGAAACTTCAGCCGTCCGTCACGTTTCGTTAATACTGCAAAAAGGAATACATTTTGATTTTCAGCTTTTGAAAGGTAAATTATCCTATAAACTGCCATACGAATGTCACAGGCTAGAAAAGGGGAACCTGGTCCTGTTGCACGCAACTGCTTTTAGATGGATTGTTTTTCTGACAATATCATTTTAGCATGGTCCAAAACTGGCTGAATTCTAAACGTGGGGATTTAAGAAATCAGAGCTGCTGTGTCTTAATTTTTAGAATGACTGATTTGTCTTAAAAATCTGTCTCCCAACGATTTTCTGATAAGGTGGGGGGGGGGATATGTCAATGTTTTTTGGGGGTGGAGGGGAGAGAACCATGGCCCTTTTATGACTTGCGGACTTCAACTCCCAGAATTCCTGGCTGGCTCAGGAATTCTGGGAGTTGAAGCAGGGGTGAAATGCTACCGGTTCGCTCCGGTTCGGGGCGAACTGGTAGTAAAAAAATACTTTAAAAAGTAAAAAAAAGAGTGCCGCACAATTGTTGGAACCTTTTTTAAAAAACTTTTTTAAAGCATTTTTTTACTACCAGTTCGGGCGAATAGGTAGTAAAAAATGCTTAAAAAAAAAAAAAAGTTGGCCACGCCCACCCAGTCACATGACCCCCCCAACCAAGCCACGCCCACAGAACTGGTAGCAAATGTTTTTGCATTTCACCACTGAGTTGAAGTCCACGCATCATAGAAGGGCCATGGATCCCCACCCCCTGGCTTAAGGCATCAGGGAGGGCCACTGCTTTTTGAGTTAACAAGCATATGCTTAGGGTTGACTTTAAATAATTTACAACTGAGTACTTAAAGAAAGTACTCTTGCTTGTCCATACCTCCATTGTAAAATGAGATTTAAGAACGGAGAAAGTCTGTCGGAGACGATCTATGCACAAAAACATTAAGAGGGACTTTATTTAAGGACTTCTGGTTTATACTCAAAGGGGGAAAGGAGTGCCACACTCCTAAAATTGGAAGTAAATAAACATCACCGTCTTTTAGTACAGCCTTAAACCTTGCAAATTCCTGCCAGCTAATGCCAGCAAGTGGACCTATTATTAAAAACTTCTAAACCCACAGCAGCAAGAACCCAGAAAGCTGAAATGCAGGAGTGGAGTAGCGCGACATGTGAAAAATGGCATGGAATTCATAAATAAATGTACAGTTTTTCTGTAAAGAGGAGAACAACTTTTAAACAATGAGGTATATATACTGCAGAAATCATGGTTGGCATTTTTTTTTTCTGTTTCACCCCATCCCAGTTCCACGGGAAAATAAATACACCACATCTCCAGTCTCTTTGGTCTCCGTGGATCTTCTCTCAAGCAGTAGGTTCGTGTAAGCCAGGCTGCCCCCTCGCTTTTTCCTCTCGGGATTAAGTCCGACCGAAACGATAAGCTTTTCAGCAACCGAAATGATGAGCTTTTCAGTAAATGGTGCACCAGTTGCTCCCGTCGCTGGGCATGAGTCCCCCGGTGATTAAAAGAATCAGGTCCACAAACCACCAGATGCCGAGTCCACCGAGGGTCAGGAGTTTCCCCACAGCTGTACCTGTGTGGCCCAGGCAGAAGCGGTCCACTCCAAAGCAGCCCAAGAAAAAGGAGTAGAGGAGAGTGGTAATGAAGTAGTGTCCAGTGTATCTGGGATTCAAAAGTCGCCAAGAGAAGGGGAAAAATATTTAAAGGAAGGTTTAGATATTATGCACGGCGCCCTCTAATAATGGATATAACCAGTGGTGGGTTGCCCCTGCTTCGCACGGGTTCTATAGAACCGGTAGTAAAACCGACGGGAGGCTCCGCCCACCGAACCTGACATCATCGGAATGCTTCTGCGCATGCACAGAAGAGCGTGCGCGCGGCCCTGTTGCGAACTGCTAGTAAAGGTAAGTAGAACCCACCCCTGGATATAACATGTGGTGGGGTTCAAACAATTTAACCGGTTCTCTATCCTAATGACCGGCTGGGTGGGTGTGGCCTTGGTGGGCGTGGCCAGGGGTGTGTGACAGGCAGCACTCTGCCTCCTGCACCCTCCTGGAAGCAAAAACGGGATGCAGGGCGGGGCGCCGCTCCCTCCGTGCCCCCTTTTGGGCCTAGTAGGCCTCCTTGCAGTTACCTGGGAGCCAAAAATGGGACACGGGACTCCTGGAAGGGGCAGGGCGAGCCAACAATTTAACAACCGGTTTGCCCAAACCGGCCGAATCCCACCATTGGAATAGACCCTGCAATGATTACAGGCAGTCCCCAACTTGGAACAGAAGTTGCCTTTGGAAGTAGCGGGAGCTTCATCACTGGAAGCTTTCAAGAAGAGACTGGACTGCCATGGGTCAGAAATGATGTAGGGTCCCCTGCTTGGGTGGGGGGTTGGACTAGATGACCTACAAGGTTCCTTCCAACTCTGTTAATCTGTTAACAACCGTGATGGAACCTGTCTACTACAGTCATAAGTTCTAATGAGTCACCCATGGGACCAACTCGATTTTTCTATCTTTTTTTTTTTTGCAGTGGCTGCTAAGCAAATCTATAGTTTGTCAGGGGGCATTTTTTTTTTGCTTCAAAGTAGAAATAAACATTGGGTTTCGGCAAAAATGTCGTAAATCACGGTCATGTGATTGCCGGGTGCTGCAAATGGCCGTAAATGCAAACCGGTTGCCGAGCACCCAAAATATAGTTGCATAACCATCTAGGGAAGAGGTTCCTGTAGGAACTTTGGAATTGGGTTGTAAGTACCTTTTAAAGGGCTTCATCATAACTCTAAATGGTCACTAAGTGACTGGTCGTAAATTGAGGGCACCCTGTACCATCCAAGTGTGTAATTATTTAGGACTTGTCTTTGACAGAAACAAAGGTGTATAAAATCAGCACCTGGAGTTAGAATGGAATTACTGAATGTCTCTCTTCTGTGTCTTATTGAGTACTTTATTGAACGGAATACTTTATTTGGCCAAGTGTGATTAGGCACACTAGGAATTTGTCTCCGGCGCAGAAGCTCTCAATGTACATGCAAAGCAACAGAATAATCATAATCATAATCATACCAATAAGAGCGGGGAGTACGAATGATAAGGATAAATAATACTACAACCATACTACGTGGTTAAATACACATACACCTACAGCCATATGTGGGTAAATACACATACACCTACTACAGCCAAACTACCTGGGTAAATACACATGTACACTACTACAGCCATACTGAATGGGTAAATACACATAAATCTACTACAGCCATACTACCTGGTTATACCTACTACAGCTATACTACATGATACATATACACCTACTACAGCCATCTGTGGGTAAACACATGTAATACTACATGCATACCACGTGGGTAAATATACATACACCTACTACAGCCATACTACATGGGTACATTACACATTAGACAGCACTGTGAGAATTACATGTGCAGGTTTTACTGATAAGCAGAGCAGCTCATAAAACCGAAAGAAACAATTACTCCTAAGGTGTTGCTGCACCTAGCTTCTGCCTTGTCCTCCTGCCCCGACACCTGAAACCACAAAGATTTACCAAGAAGAGGAACTCACTTTATGCACGGCTTGCTCCCACGCAGAAAGGTTCGCGATCCTGCACACTCAATGCCATCCAATGCCCTGCAAAGGACTCGGGTGTGGCTGACGTCGCTGTATGCTTGGCCACCAAACTGTTACAAGGACAGAAAACAGCAGAACAAATTGAAGATTTATTGGCAGACGTTCCTTGGTTACGTATTCCTTTGCAAATTAAAACTCAAATGTTCTTTTATCGAAGAAAAAGACAGCAGCTTTGCTCACCTTGAGACAGCCGTAACCCAATTCATCCCGTGCGCTTGTATTTCCGTTATGGTCCACAGGATCCTCGCAGTCTATGAATTCTTCAGGTCTGCATATAAATCAAAGAACCGAGTTCAGATTGGAGAAAACCACTCTCAAAAGCTGCATTGCCGATACAGTTAGCCTGTAACTTACAACCACAATGGAGCCCAATATTTCTGTGGCTAACCGAGACAGTGAAGTGCGTTTTGCCCCCTTTTCACAACTTTTTGTGCCACAGTTGTTAAGTGAAGCGCTGGAGTTGTTGCTGTACCTTTGCCATTAGTTGAGATGGTAGCTCCACTTTAGCAACATCTAGAGGTCCATCTATTCCCCACCTTCTCGAACAGCTTTCATTAACCCATTTGAATGGTGTGGGAATATGAATGGATTTCCAGAACAAAAACCTGCAGACTACAGGAAGCATTTGCACCACTCAGGTGACCCTGAAAACACAGATATACCTCCAAGTGACCTCAATGAACCTCTAAAAGGATGCAAATGAGCCGCTGTCTGCAAGGAGTATAAATCCTCCCATTCCCCACCATCCAGTCAGAGCTGAAGAAGCTTCTTGGATGAGAAGCGAAACGTCTTCAAAAGAAAAAACCTCACCATCTGCAGGGCCATTTTTTAAACACTTTTCTCCAATTTAAATAGCTTGGCCCCGCCTCCTCACACCTCAAGCCCGCCCCATGCCATCTGCAGGGCCATTTTTTAACGCTTTTCTCCAATTTAAATAGCCTTGGTCCCGCCTTCTCGTGCCACAAGCCCCGCCCTGGCACCTCAAGCCCCGCCCCATGCCATCTGCCAGGGCCATTTTTTAAACACTTTTCTCCAATTTAAATAGCCTTGGCCACACCCCTCAAGCGCCGCCCCATGCTATATGCAGGGCCAGTTTTTAAGGCTTTTCTCCAATTTAAATAGCCTTTGCCCCGCCCTCACACCTCAAGCCCCGCCCTGGCACCTCAAGCCCCGCCCCATGCCATCTTCAGGGCCATTTTTTAACGCTTTTCTCTAATTTAAATAGCCTCGGCCCCGCCCCCTCGCGCCTCAAGCCCCTCCCCTCGCGCCTCAAGCCCCGCCCACCCGTCCTCACAGGTGGTCGCAGAGGATCAGCGGCGCGTACGGGCCTTGGTATTCCCAGAGGCTGGCGGGGGTTGCGTGAGGGGGCCGCTGCTGCCCTTCTGCCTCTGGAGCGCCGGCGGGGCTCTCGGTGGCGTTGTGCTGGTGGGTCCGGGAGACCCCCTGCAGCAGGAGCAGGTTGCCCAGCAACAGCGCCGCCTGACCACACAGGAGCGCGTAACAAATCGGCCCACCGCCCGCCATAGCGGAGACGGCGCCCTTCCGACTTCCGGCCGAGGCCGGCCGCTTCGGAAATACGTAACTTCGCCTTTCCACCAATCGCGAAGCTGCCCCTCTGAGAGGGCGGGACTCGCCTCGCGATTCTGTCCAATCAAAAGCGAGGCTTGTCAAGGGGCGGCGTCGCCGCATACCATAGAGAGAGACCGAAAGAGAAGGACCGCTGAACCTTTTTAGGGTAAAAGCTCGGTGAACTGATCTGGGATGGGAAATCTCTTCGGGATGTTGCGCTCTGCTGCCACCTAGAGGCACTCAGAGCTTTGCAAGCCCAGATCCTGCACCTATTATGCTGAAAGAGGCTCTTTCCGTCGTCGCCCCTCCCACTTTCTCGAGCGCAGCCCCGATTGGCCCGCGAGGCCGCTGCCGGCATCCAATAAGGCAAAAGCGGTAAAAAGAAGAACGGCGCTTCGCAGCCTGGCCAACAGATGGCAGCAGCGGCCGCCACTTGCTGGAGGAGAAACAAGGTCGTGAAGGATTCGAATTATGGAGTTTGCAGAACACGTGGGAACGCTGCCAAGTTTGACGTGCTAATGTTGTGCAAATTAACCCTTATGTTTCGCTTACGCCCAGAAATTTATATTAAAAGCCTGTTTTTTTTTCTCCCCCAAACTTGGTGACTTTATGGCAGAGGTCTTCAAACTTGGCAGCTTTAAGACTTGTGGACTTCAATAATTCTATTCTATTCTATTCTATTCTATTCTATTCTATTCTATTCTATTCTATTCTATTCTATTCTATTCTATTCTATTCCATTCCATTCCATTCCATTCCATTCCATTCCATTCTATTCTATAAATTCTATTCTATTCTATTCTATTCTATTCTAAATTCTATTCTATTCTAAATTCTATTCTATTCTATTCTATTCTATTCTATTCTATTCTATTCTATTCTACTCTCTTTTCTATTCTACTCTACTCTACTCTACTCCTATTCTATTCTAAATTCTATTCTATTGTATTCCACTCTACTCTCTATTCTATTCTATACTATTCTATTCTCTACTATACTATTCTATTCTCTACTCTCTCTACTCTCTTTTCTATTCTATTCTATTCTAAATTCGATTGTATTGTATTCTACTCTACTCTTATTCTATTCTATTCTATTCTATTCTATTCTACTCTCTTTTCTATTCTACTCTACTCTACTCTACTCTACTCCTATTCTATTCTAAATTCTATTCTATTGTATTCCACTCTACTCTCTATTCTATTCTATACTATTCTATTCTCTACTATACTATTCTATTCTCTACTCTCTCTACTCTCTTTTCTATTCTATTCTATTCTAAATTCGATTGTATTGTATTCTACTCTACTCTTATTCTATTCTATTCTATTCTATTCTATTCTACTCTACCCTACTCTCTATTCTATTCTATTCTACTCTACTCCTATTCTATTTAAAATTCTATTCTATTCTATTCTATTCTATTCTATTCTATTCTATTCTATTCTATTCTACTCTCTTTTCTATTCTACTCTACTCTACTCTACTCTACTCCTATTCTATTCTAAATTCTATTCTATTGTATTCCACTCTACTCTCTATTCTATTCTATACTATTCTATTCTCTACTCTCTCTACTCTCTTTTCTATTCTATTCTATTCTAAATTCGATTGTATTGTATTCTACTCTACTCTTATTCTATTCTATTCTATTCTATTCTATTCTATTCTACTCTACCCTACTCTCTATTCTACTCTACTCTACTCTACTCCTATTCTATTCTAAATTCTATTCTATTGTATTCCACTCTACTCTCTATTCTATTCTATACTATTCTATTCTCTACTATACTATTCTATTCTCTACTCTCTCTACTCTCTTTTCTATTCTATTCTATTCTAAATTCGATTGTATTGTATTCTACTCTACTCTTATTCTATTCTATTCTATTCTATTCTATTCTGTTCTACTCTTATTCTACTCTTTATTCTCTACTCTCTACTCTTTTCTATTGTATTCTATTCTACTCTATCATCTTTTACTCTACTCCTATTCTAAATTCTATTCTATACTATTCTATTCTCTACTCTTTACTCTATTCTATTCTATTCTGTTCTATTCTATTCTCTACTATACTCTTCTAATCTATTCTCTACTCTCTCTACTCTCTTTTCTATTCTATTCTAAATTCGATTGTATTGTATTCTACTCTACTTTTATTCTATTCTATTCTATTCTATTCTACTCTATCATATTCTACTCTATATTCTCTTCTAAATTCTATTCTATAGTATTCTATTCTACTCTCTACTCCTCTTCTCTTCTCTTCTCTTCTCTTCTCTTCTTTTCTTTTCTTTTCTTTTCTATTCCATTCTATGACTCCGATACCTTTTGTCCCTAAAGGGAAAGTGCTATATAACCGGGCGGAGAGGGGTCTCCTAGAAGACCTCGAAGGTCCCTATCAACTCTGTAAGCCGAGTCCCCTGAGCCGCGGCGGGGCTGGCCGGCGTGGGGAGCGGAGGCGGCGGCTCCTCCCCGGGGGTGGGTCCGGGACGGGGGAGTCCCGCCTCGCCAGCCTCCATAGCCGGAGCTGCCCCCGAGCTCCGCTCCGCCGCCGGGGATGCGGACAGCTGCGAGCGCCCGCGGCTCTGGGCTGCTCCTGCGGCTGCTGCTGCTGCTTTGCCCGGCGCGGAGCTTCCCGCACCAGCAGCCCGGTGAGTCGCAGCGCCTTGGCCCCGAGATCGCTGCCAACCTCGGGGGCAGGTGGGGAAGCGGGCGGGGGGAGAAGCCGGCTGGACGGAGGATGCTCGGCTCGGGGGCGTCGAAGGGCTTGGAGGGGAGGGGAGGGGAGGGGGGGGGGGGGCTGGGGGTGGGGAAGGGGAAGAGGCCGGCCGCGGACGCCTCGGCTCCGGCGGAGAGCCCCTGGTCTGGCTGGGAAGCTCGGCGGAGGCCCCGCCCGCTTCCAGCCCGGCTGCTGAAAAAGAGAGAAAGAGGGAGGAAAGAACAAGAAGAGAGAGAGAGAGAGAGAGAGGGAGGGAGAGATAGAGGGAGGGGGAGGAAGAGAGAGAGAAGGAGAGAGGGAGGGAAAAAGGGAGAGAGGGAGAAAGAGAGAGAGGGAGAGAGGGAGAGAGAGAAGAGAGAGGGAGGGAGGAAGGGAGAGGAGGAGAGAGGGAGGACAGGAAGAGTGAGAAAGGGAGGGAGGGAAGGAGAGAGGGAGAGAGGAAGAGAAAGAGAGAAGGAGAGAGGGAGGAAGAGAGAGAGAAAGAGAGGGAGGGGGAGAGAGAGAGGAGGAGGGGAGAGAGAGAGAGAAGGAGAGAGGGAGGAAGAGAGAGAGAGAGAAAGAGAGGGAGAGAGAGATAGAGGGAGGGGGAGGAAGAGAGAGAGAGAGAAGGGAGGAAGAGAGATAGAGAGGAGGAGGAGGAGAGAGAGAGAGAGAGAAGGAGAGAGGGAGGAAGAGAGAGAGAAGGAGAGAGGGAGGGAAAAAGAGAGAGAGAGGGAGGGAGGAAGAGAGAGAGAGGGAGAGAGGGAGAAAGAGAGAGAAGGAGGAAGGGAGAGAGAGAAGGAGAGAGGGAGGGAAAGAGAGAAGGAGAGAGGGAGGAGGAAGGGAGAGGAGGAGGAGGGAGGGAGGAAGAAGTAGTGAGAAAGGGAGGGAGGAAGAGAGAGGGAGAGAGGAAGAGAAAGAGAGAAGGAGAGAGGGAGGAAGAGAGAGAGAGAAAGAGAGGGAGGGAGAGATAAAGAGAGGAGGAGGAAGAGAGAGAGAGAAGGAGAGAGGGAGGAAGAGAGAGAGAGAAAGAGAGAGGGAGGGAGAGATAGAGGGAGGGGGAGGAAGAGAGAGAGAGAAGGGAGGAAGAGAGATAGAGAGAGGAGGAGGAAGAGAGAGAGAGAGAAGGAGAGAGGGAGGAAGAGAGAGAGAAAGAGAGAGGGGGAGGGAGAGATAGAGGGAGGAGGAGGAAGAGAGAGGGAGGAGGAAGAGAGAGAGAAGGAGAGAGGGAGGGAAAAAGAGAGGGAGAGAAAGAGGGAGGGAGAGAGGAGGAGATGGGAGGGAGGAAAGAGTGAGAAAGGGAGGGAGGAAGAGAGAGGGAGGGAGGAAAGAGAAAAGAGAGAAGGAGAGAGGGGAGAGAGGAAGAGAGTGAGAAAGGAGGGAGGAAAAGAGAAGGAGGGAGGGAGGAGTGAAAGAGAGGGAGGGAAAAAGAGAGAAAGAGAGGGAGGGAGAAAGAGGGAGAAAGAGAGAGGGGAGGGAGGAAGAGAGAGAGAAGGAGAGAGGGAGGGAAAAAAGAGAGAGAGGGGGGTGTGAGGGCGAGAGAGGAGAGAGGGAGGGGAAAAGAGAGACGAGAAAGGGAGGGAGAAAGGGATGAAGAAGGAGAAAGGGAGTAGAGAGAGTGAGATCGATGGGAGGGAGGATCGAGAGGGGAGAGAAGGAGATAGTGAGAGAGAAAAAGAGGGAGAAAGAAGGAGGAGGAAGAGTGGGAGAAAGAGAGAGAGAGGTGAGGGAGAGAGGAAGGGAGGAAGAGAGAAAGAGAATGAGATTCCACTCTACTCTCTATTCTATTCTATACTATTCTATTCTCTACTATACTATTCTATTCTCTACTCTCTCTACTCTCTTTTCTATTCTATTCTATTCTAAATTCGATTGTATTGTATTCTACTCTACTCTTATTCTATTCTATTCTATTCTATTCTATTCTGTTCTACTCTTATTCTACTCTTTATTCTCTACTCTCTACTCTTTTCTATTGTATTCTATTCTACTCTATCATCTTTTACTCTACTCCTATTCTAAATTCTATTCTATACTATTCTATTCTCTACTCTTTACTCTATTCTATTCTATTCTGTTCTATTCTATTCTCTACTATACTCTTCTAATCTATTCTCTACTCTCTCTACTCTCTTTTCTATTCTATTCTAAATTCGATTGTATTGTATTCTACTCTACTTTTATTCTATTCTATTCTATTCTATTCTACTCTATCATATTCTACTCTACTATTCTCTTCTAAATTCTATTCTATAGTATTCTATTCTACTCTCTACTCCTCTTCTCTTCTCTTCTCTTCTCTTCTCTTCTTTTCTTTTCTTTTCTTTTCTATTCCATTCTATGACTCCGATACCTTTTGTCCCTAAAGGGAAAGTGCTATATAACCGGGCGGAGAGGGGTCTCCTAGAAGACCTCGAAGGTCCCTATCAACTCTGTAAGCCGAGTCCCCTGAGCCGCGGCGGGGCTGGCCGGCGTGGGGAGCGGAGGCGGCGGCTCCTCCCCGGGGGTGGGTCCCGGGACGGGGGAGTCCCGCCTCGCCAGCCTCCATAGCCGGAGCTGCCCCCGAGCTCCGCTCCGCCGCCGGGGATGCGGACAGCTGCGAGCGCCCGCGGCTCTGGGCTGCTCCTGCGGCTGCTGCTGCTGCTTTGCCCGGCGCGGAGCTTCCCGCACCAGCAGCCCGGTGAGTCGCAGCCGCCTTGGCCCCGAGATCGCTGCCAACCTCGGGGGCAGGTGGGGAAGCGGGCGGGGGGAGAGCCGGCTGGACGGAGGATGCTCGGCTCGGGGGCGTCGAAGGGCTTGGAGGGGAGGGGAGGGGAGGGGAGGGGAGGGGAGGGGAGGGGGGGCTGGGGGTGGGGAAGGGGAAGAGGCCGGCCGCGGACGCCTCGGCTCCGGCCGGAGAGCCCCTGGTCTGGCTGGGAAGCTCGGCGGAGGCCGCCCGCCCTCTTCCAGCCGGGCTGAAAAAGAGAGAAAGAGGGAGGAAGAACAAGAATAGAGAGAGAGAAAGAGAGAGGGAGGGGGAGATAGAGGGAGGGGGAGGAAGAGAGAGAGAGAAGGAGAGAGGGAGGAAGAGAGAGAGAGAAAGAGAGGGAGGGAGAGAGGAGGAGAGAGGGAGGAAGAGAGGAAGAGAGAGGGAGAGAGGAAGAGAGAGAGAGAAAGAGAGAGGGAGGGAGAGATAGAGGGAGGGGGAGGAAGAGAGAGAGAGAGAAGGGAGGAAGAGAGAGAAAGAGAGAGGGAGGGAGAGATAGAGAGAGGAGGAGGAAGAGAGAGAGAGAGAAGGAGAGAGGGAGGAAGAGAGAGAGAGAAAGAGAGAGAGGGAGGGAGAGATAGAGGGAGGAGGAGGAAGAGAGAGGGAGGGAGGAAGAGAGAGAGAGAAGGAGAGAGGGAGGGAAAAAGAGAGGGAGAGAAAGAGAGGGAGGGAGAGAGGAGGAGAGAGGGAGGGAGGAAGAGTGAGAAAGGGAGGGAGGAAGAGGGAGGGAGGGAGGAAGAGAAAGAGAGAAGGAGAGAGGAAGAGAGTGAAAAAGGGAGGGAGGAAAAGAGAAGGAGGGAGGGAGGAAGAGAGAGGGAGGGAAAAAGAGAGAAAGAGAGGGAGGGAGAAAGAGGGAGAAAGAGAGAGGGGAAGGAGGAAGAGAGAGAAGGAGAGAGGGAGGGAAAAAGAGAGAGAGGGGGAGGGAGGGAGAGAGGAGAGAGGGAGGGAGGAAGAGAGTGAGAAAGGGAGGGAGGAAGAGAGGAGAGAGGGAGGGAAAAAGAGAGAGAGAAAGGGAGGGAGAAAGGGAGTGAGAAGGAGAAAGGGAGGAAGAGAGTGAGAAAGAGAGAGGGAGGGAGGAAAAGAGGGAGAGAAGGATAGCGAGAGAAAAAGAGGGAGAAAGAAGGAGGGAGGAAGAGTGGGAGAAAGAGAGTGAGGGAGGGAGGGAGAGAGGAAGGGAGGAAGAGAGAAAGAGAATGAGGGAGAGACGGAGGGAGAGAGAATGAGGGAGGGAGAGAGAGAGAGTGGGAGGGAGAGAGAGGAAGAGAGTGGAAGTGTGGGAGGGAGGAAGAGAGAGAGAGAGAAAGAGAATGAGGGAGAGCGGGAGGGAGAGGGAGAGAGAGAAGGAGGGAGGGAGAGTGGGAGGGAGGGAGGAAGAGAGAGAAAGAGAGAATGAGGGAGAAAGAGGGAGGGAAGAAGAGCGAGAGAGAAAGAAGGAGAGAGAGAGGGAGGGAGGGAAAAGAGAGGGAGGGAGAGAAAGAGAGAGAAAAAGAACGAAAGAAAGAAAGAAAAAGAGAGTCAGAAAGAGATAGTGTGAGAGAGAGAGAGATTGGGGGGGGTTCTTCGCTGCCTTCGTGGGCCCCTCCTCGGAACCGCTTCCCCGGCTGCCTTTTTCGTCCAGGAGAAACTTGATTTGGAGAAGCCCCTTTGATCGCGACGCGGATTTTAGCGTTAGGCTTCGCTTTCGTGTCTCGTGTGAACGCAGAAAAGGGTCGTTGGTGCCCAATCCCCCCCCTCTCTCTCTGGGGTCCAGGAGTGTCATGGGGCAGGGGGAGAAAAACTGCGGGAAAATAGATTTTACACCGGCACACCTGTAAAGAAATTAAACCCAAGCTTTTGAGTAAGGGAGGAAAGTAAAAAAAGTTTGTGTTTAAAGAGCATCGCCCCCCCCCCCCAAATTGACTGAAAGTGAGAGTCGAAGTCCGCACCTTGTCATAACTGTGCTGGTTGGAGAATGGTGGGAGTTGAAGTCCACAGATCCTCCGAGCTGCCAAGGTTGAGTAACAATAAGTAAAACGTTTATCTGTGTCCTCGGAGTCACCTGAGTCGTTTTAATGGTTCCGGTAGTCTGCAATTTTTATTTTTTTATTTTTGGAAATCCGTTCCTACTCCCACCCCATTCCAAGGGTGTCCATCCCAAATTCCATAGCTAAAAGTTTGTAGAGATTTATTTATTTATTTATTTATTGGTTCGATTTATATGCCGCCCTTCTCCGGAGACTCAGAGCGGCTTACAATGCGTTAAGCAATAGCCTTTATACTTTTTGTATATACCTGCTTAGTAGGGCTTTCGGCCTCCCCAAGCGGTGTTCTTTTTTTATACAAAGTTAGCTTATTGCCCCCACAAACTGGGTCCTCATTTTACCGACCTCGGAAGGATGGAAGGCTGAGTCAACCTTGAGCCTGGTGAGATTCGAACTCGCAGTAATTGCAGGCAGCTGGTGCTACTTAACAGCACTTTAGTTCGCTGCGCCACCAAGGACTTTCTTGGACTTTTCTTGGTTTTTTCTTTCTTTGAAGACGTTTCACTTCTCACCCGAGAAGCTTCCTCAGCTCTGACTGAATGGTGGGGAATGGAAGGATTGATGCTCCTTGCAGACAGCTGGTCATTTGCATCCTTTTAGAGGATCGTTGAGGCCACTTGGAGGTTTATTTGTGTCCTCAGGGTCACCTGAGTGGTGCAAATGGTTTCTGTAGTCTGCAATTTTTTCCCCTCTGGAAATCCGTTCCTACTCCCACATCATTCAAAGGGCTGAAGAAGCTTCCTGGATGAGAAGTGGAACGGATTGCTTCCAGAGATTGTCTGAAATGGTACAGGTTTTTTGGGTTTTTTTGGCTGAGCAGGGGGACCTCCAAGGTCCCTCTGTGATTCTGTTAAGGTCCTTCTAGAAAACTACTAATTGGATGATTTATATGCTGCCAGGAGAGTGATAAATAGAAAAAAAAACCCTAAACACTGCTAGGAATCTAAACTGATTTGGACACAATCCCACAATTCCTAGGAATACTGTACATTTCCTTACACACATGAATTGTAATCTTAAGGACATTGTATGCTGTTATCTTCCTTTGAAATAAGCAAGCTACAGTTCAAATGTTGTGATGTTGGGTATTTCATGATATTCACTCCCCCAAAAATTATTGAATAATTGATATACTGGAAAATTGCAATTCTTTAGATATTTTTCATATTTCTTATTTGCTTATCTGTGTTGTCCTTTTATATGCTGTAATGTTTGCTAAAAGGTTTCATGAAAAAATAAGTTTAAAAAGACTTTGAAACCAGGTGCCTAAAAGACTGAACACAGTGGACAGAAATACGAGAATGCCATTTTATAAGTTAGGCTTTTGGAGATCTTTTTAAATTTTTTACGGGCAGTCAAGAAGCCCAGTGAATTTTTACAAGCGAAACTTTACAATATTAGTATATAAGATTATAATAGGAAACAAGAACATAGACCTAAATTTTGTTCCAGACTTTTAAACATGGTGCAAGGGAGAGATCTTTAAAAGTTTGTCTAAAATGAGCAGGAAAGAAGGAAGTGTATTTTTACTAATCTCTTACAAGCCCACACCTGCCCGCTCCCTGCAGGAAATAAATCCTATATACCATACTAAATCCACCCAAGGTAACTGAAGCAAGAGCATTTCAGAGTGCCAAAGACATCGGTGTTTGTGGTGTGAAGTAGCCAACATCGGCAAGATACCGCCTGTGGCATCTGCCATCTTGCCTCTTCTTTTTTGTTGTTGGACCAGGTTCAAAGCTCTTCTATGTTTACTTCCAGGGGGTGGGCTTCAAAAATTTTAGCAAGGGGTTCTGTGCCCGGTTGCTGGGTGGGCGTGGCCATGGTGGGCATGGCCTAGTCTGCCTCCTGCACTATGGCGGGGGAGGGGGGGCAGGTGTTTTTGCCCTCCCCGGGCTCTGGAGGCTTTTCTTGAGCCTCCAGGAGGGCGAAAACGGCCTCCCCAGGCTCCGGAGGCCCTCTGGAGGCCAGAAACTGGCCTGTTTCTTGCCTTCCCGAACTTCCGGTAGGCCCGTTTTCGCCTCCCCGAGCCTCTGTGTGCGCCCTGCACTTACCTGCATCCAAAACGGGCCACGTGGGGACTCCTGGAAGGGGAGGGGTGGGAGGGGAGAGGTGGGCAGGGAGGGGCAGGGCAAGCCAGGAGTGGGATTTGGGGGTTCTCCGAACTGCACAGAATCTTAACTAGAGGTTCTCCCAAACCGCCAGCATCTCACCCCTGTTTACTTCTATCTGTCCAAAGTAAACTTTGTATTTCCGGACATTGGCAGAAGGAAAATTATGCCCTACCGTGAGATACAATCTTCTTCCTCCTCGGAATTGACAGGCCCCTGTCCCTTTTAGCCTTCAGGAAGGTTGGAAGACCAAATGAACTTGTTCTGGAAGGTGGTTCATCTTGGTAGGCCCTGATTGTGGCTTGTCAGACCCAAGTCCAAAGATGACACCATTTTCGCCCTCCCGGAGGCTCAAGAAAAGTCTCCAGAGGCTCATGAAAAGCCTCCGGAGCCTGGGGAGGACGAAAATGCCTCCCCACCCGCCGTGCAGGAAGCTGACTAGGCCACGCCCCCATGGCCACGCCTACCCAGCAACCAGGCAGAGAACCGGTTGCTAAATTTTTTCAATCCCACCCTTGACTTAATGGATGGAAGAACTCCTCCTTTGTTTACGGAAGGCATGCAAGACGAACTCGGTTTCTTCGCTATATTTTTATTAACCAGTATTATTGGCTGCATGGGATCGGTCTGTTTTCCCTTCGTTGAAGACGGAATCTCAAAAAAATCAGCAAGAGGAGGTTGAGAATCAGGAAAGAGTTCATTGTGAGATGCCAAAGTTCACGGGAAACAATCCAAGCTCGGCATCCTAGTTAATGAGATTACAAATCAGATTACCACCTCTTGGATGTTACAGTTTTCCCAAGCATCTTTCCTCCTTGGGATAAGATAGTAGAGAAGGAATGAATAACGTGGCTTTGGTCTCAAGACGTCGAGCTGCAAAATTGTAATTGTTCTCGTTTCAAGGTGTCAGTTTTGTAAGTGACTTTTTTTTGGGTGGGGGCAGTTTTTGAATCAAGATGAGATTTGGGCAAGGTTGGGCTTTTTGAATTGGTCTGCCTGGGGTCAGACTTTCAAAGGAACTATTCCCCCAGAGACAGAGATAGATAAACAGAGTTGGAAGGGACCTTGTAGGTCATCTAGTCCAACCCCACGTCCAAGCAGGAACCCCTACACCATTTCTGACAGATGACAGTCCAATCTCTTATTGAAAGCCTCCAGTGATGAAGCCCCCACAACTTCTGAAGGCAACTTCTGTTCCGTTGCTTGATTGCTCTCACTGTCAGAAAATTCCTCCTTATTTCCAGGTTGAATCTCTCCTTGATCAGTTTCCACCCATTATTCTTTGTCTGGCCTTTGGGTGGCTTGGAAAATAGGTTGACCCCCTTCCTCCTCTCTGTGGCAGCCCCTCAAATATTGGAAGACGGTTATCCTGTCTCCCTTGATCCTTCTCTTCACTAGACAAGCCGTGTCGAGTACTTGCAATCGTCCATCGTATGTTTTAATCTCCAGGCCTTTGATCGTTTTAGATAGATTCAGATTAACAGAATTGGAAGGGACCTTGTAGGTCATCTAGTCCAACCCCCTACCCAAGCAGGAGACCCTACACCATCTCCGACAAATGGCAGTCCAGTCTCTTCTTGGAAGCCTCCAGTGATGAAGCTCCCACAACTGCTGAAGGCAACTTCTGTTCCATGGGTTGATTGCTCTATTATTATTATTACAGTATGCATAGTTGTGAGGTAAAAATTGGACTATATCTCCATATTGAAGCGGTATGCTAAGTAAGAGGCATCTGAAGGATGTTTCTGAACATTTTTGTGAAGAGGGATTGTGCTCAATTTCCAAGATTATCTCTCCTCGCACAAAAGGCCCACTGTGCTCTCTTTATTTTTGCTGCCTCTCCACAGAGATAATGTGTCCATTTCTAGATGTAATAAATCCCCGAGTGCCCAGATTTCTTGAAAACGAAAAAGTTGGCTATTCAAAGGAGTTCTAACGTCGTGTGTTTGTTTATTTTTTGTTGTTGCGGCAGTAATATTTTCTTGTTTCCTGAAGATCTTTCATATTTTGAAGCTAGTTTTCTACAAGATGAGCATTTAGGAGGGTCACCATCCTTTTGTTTTCTTGTTGCTTTGCGTTGTGCTACAAAAAGTGTGAAATGGGGACTGCTGTGTAGACTTTGCAAAAATAAAAATAAAAATCACTATATCTATATAGTACTAAAACTCTCCTCTAATCTATAACTGGCTGAAACCATGCATCATACTGGAATAATTTTTTGATCCAACATGTCTCAAATGGGCTAACTTAAGGTATGTCCAAAATCTGGGCCCATGACTCCTCCTTTTTCTAATTTTCCTCCTCCTCTTAATTTTGCTCCTCCTCTTCTAATTTTGCTCTTCCTCCTCCTCCTAATTTTTCCCCTCTTCCTCTTCCTCCTCCTTCTTATTTTGCTCCTGCTCTTTTAATTTTGCTCTTCCTCCTCCTTCTAATTTTGCTCCTCCTCCTCTTCCTCTTCCTCCTCCTTCATATTTTGCTCCTCCTCTTCTAATTTTGCTCTAATTCCTTCTAATTTTGCTCCTCTTCCTCCTCCTCCTTCTTATTTTGCTCCTCTTCCTCCTCCTCCTCCTTCTAATTTTGCTCCTCCTCCTTCTAATTTTGCTCCTCCTCCTCTTCTTCCTCCATCTAATTTTGCTCTTCCTCCTCTTCCTCCTCCTCCTTCTAATTTTGCTCCTCCTAATTTTGCTCCTCCTCCTCCTCCTCCTCCTAATTTTGCTCCTCCTCTTCTTCCTCCATCTAACTTTGCTCTTCCTCCTCTTCCTCCTCCTCCTTCTCATTTTGCTCCTCCTAATTTTGCTCCTCCTCCTCCTCCTAATTTTGCTCCTCCTCCTCCTAATTTTGCTCCTCCTCCTCCTAATTTTGCTCCTCCTCCTCCTTCTAATTTTGCTCCTCTTCCTCCTCCTCCTCCTCCTTCCAATTTTGCTCCTCCTCCTCTTCCTCCTCCTTCAATAAATACTAATCAAAATTAATGTTACAATAATCACCCCTAATAGTAAAATTAATCTTTCTCTTGTAATTTTAGAAGTTCTAACTTCCGTTGTCATTGATAGAACAGATCCCATATCTCAAAATATTCAGTGTCTTCCTTTTCTTTAACTTCAAGGGTTAGTTTATTCATTCCTGCACATTCTAAGATTTTTGTTATTATCTTTTCTTCTGTAGGGATCTCCTCGCCCTTCCAATGTTGTGCAAGCACGATTCTGGCTGCAGTTATAATAAACCCTATCATTCTATGTTCTATTTATCTCACGCGCTCCGACCGTCCAGCGATTTAAAAGCCAGAGCTTTTGTTTTACAAGCTAACATGTCTTCTTCTTCTGTTACAGGATTTCAGTCACTTTCTCATCTGTCTTCCTACGAAATTATTGTGCCCAAGAGGATAGAACGAGAAGAGCAAAGAACACAGCCACAACATTTGGTGGTATTTAAGCATGGGGGGGGGGGCAAGTTCCATGAATCAAATTAAGGAGTTAATGGGAATATTGTGCACAGATACCGTGTTTCCCCGAAAATAAGACATCCCCTGATGATAAGCCCAATCGAGTTTTGAGCGCATGCTAGCAGCAGTGGCTCTTCCGTTCCAAGGACCGGCCCATAGATTTCCACTGCTCTCCTCTCCTCTGCCTTCTGTAAATCCACATATCAGGCACTGGACCCAGCTGTTCCTCCTCTTCCTCATCAGCCATCTCCAGACCTGGGGGCTGTTGACTCTCCATCTGAGGGCTGACAGACGGCCCATGCTCCGCCTCTGTTTCTCTCTCTGCCACCTCCATTCCCTCTTCCCCCTCGGAGCTCTCAGGTTGCCTAGATGCTGACCCTGACTTCCATGCCTCCTCCTCCTCCTCCTCTGATTCGGCTGCTGGAGGGGCCGGTGGCCGATAGGCCACGACACAAACTGGACAATAGAATATAATAAAGATAAAAAAAGAATACATTACGTAAAAGGTTAAATCTAAAAATCACATAAGATGTATAAAGTATCCCTCACCCCCCGAAGAAGAGTGGTGGGTTTCAATTTTTTTTTACTACCGGTTCTGTGGGTGTGACTTAGTGGGTGTGGCTTGGTGGGCGTGGCAGGGGAAGGGTACTGCAAAATCTCCGTTCCCATCCCACTCCAGGAGAAGGATACTGCAAAATCTCCCTTCTCTCTCCACTCCAGGGGAAGGTTACTGCAAAATCTCCATTCCCGCCCCACTCCAGGGGAACGTTACTGCAAAATCCCCATTTCCTCCTGATCAGCTGGGACTCGGGAGGCAGAGACTAGATGGGGGCGGGGCCAGTCAGAATTTTTACTACCGGTTCTCTGGACTGCTCAAAATTTCTATTACCGGTTCTCCAGAACTGGTTAGAACCTGCTGAAACCCACCTCTGCCCAAGAATATATATAAGAGAGAGAGAAAAAAAGGTGAAATACTCATTAAATATTGCTGCTTGACTCTCACTATTCATTTGTTTGTGAGTGGGTCACTACGTATGATTGAAACACACGCTAATATTGCTTTCTCCCTCTATGCTTTCAGGACAAGTTATCATTCAATGTTATAATTGAAGGAAGAGAATATATAATTCATTTAAGAAGGAACAAGTAAGTGATTCCTTTTTGCCTGTATGTCTATGGAGATTCTCAGTCATCCAGGACATGGTTATCTCAAAAGTGCTTTTTTTCCAAAGGTAACAGCAGTGGCCAAAATTGTGGAAACCTTTTTGGGAAAAGTGTATTTTCTAAAACTAGCTAACAACACCACTTTTTTTTTTTTTTTTGGAGTAGTGCCATAAAATTATATATCCGTGGAAAGATAATTTAATCAAGAATGTAATGCAGTAACTTTTAGGAAGGATTTGCTATTAGAATAGCAGTTACAGGATAAAGGAGAAAAGTGAAACACGTAGAAAAAACGAGAAGTACAAAAATGATCACCAATGGAAAAAAAGAGATACACAAAAATGACCACTTAGTTGGGTAACCTTTATAGCATGAATGACGGCCTTACAACGTCTTCCCATGGAGTGAACCAAGTCTTTGAGTTCTGCAGCTGTTCTAATGTGAAACCAAGATTGAATGATGCCTTCTATGAACTGGGTTTTATTGCTGGGTTGCTTCTGACTAACCAGTTTCTTTAGTCGGCTCCATAGATGGTTGGTCAGGTTTTTTTTAACAGATTAACAGAGTTGGAAGGGACCTTGTAGGTCATCTAGTCCAACCCTCCGCCCAAGCAGGAGACCCTACACCATTTTTGACAGGTGGCAGTCCAGTCTCTTCTTGAAAGCCTCCAGTGATGAAGCTCCCACAACTTCTGAAGGCAACTTCTGTTCCACGGGTTGATTGTTCTCACTCTCAGAAAATTTCTCCTTATTTCTAGGTTGAATTTCTCCTTGTTCAGTTTCCATCCATTATTCCTTCTCTGGCCTTCAGATGCTTTGCCTTTTTTTGTTGTAGTTCTCCTTCAGCTCACGTTTCTCTTACTTTGATTTAAAAAATAAAATAAAATTCTGCTTGGCATTCATAACATGTTTCCCCCCCCTCCATCCTTTTAGAGATCTGATGTCCCAAGACTTCACAATTTACACCTACAATAGAAGTGGAAGTCTGCAAACTGAAACTCCAAATCTTCAGGTGCGTTTTTATTTTTCTCTGAGGGGTTGATCAGTTAAAGAAAAAAATTGTTTCAAAGAATTTGCTCTGGCCGAGGAGGAACGTAGCCTGCCAGCCTTGGGGATGAAGTCAGAGGAACATTGGGGGGCGGAGGGGAAGTGGGGGGCTTTCTCTCCACTTCCTTTGTAGCCCCTCTTTTTCGGTCTGTGAGGAGAGGCGTTGAGTGTGACTGACTGTGTGTGCGTGTGCAGAGAGGGATTTTTCCCTTCTACTTCTCTTTCAGTTTGTTAAGAGAGACTTAAGAAATGCCTGAAAAGGGACACGGTGGCTCAGTGGCTAAGATGCTGAGCTTGTCGATCGAAAGGTCGGCAGTTCAGCGGTTCGAATCCTGAGTGCTGCATAACGGGGTGAGCTCCCGTTACTTGTCCCAGCTTCTGCCAACCTAGCAGTTCGAAAGCGCATAAAAAAATGCAAGTAGAAAAATAGGGACCACGTTTGGTGGGAAGGTAACAGCGTTCTGTGCGCCTTTGGCGTTGAGTCTTGCTGGCCACATGACCACGGAGACGTCTTTGGACAGCTCTGGCTCTTCGGCTTTGAAATGGAGATGAGTACCGTCCCCTAGAGTCAGGAACTACTAGCACATATGTGCAAGGTGAACCTTTACCTCTAAGAAATGCCTTAGTAGAGAATATAAAAGAAATTCAGGGGGAAAAATTTGATAGTCTTGCATTTATTTAAGGATGCGGGATACAGGGTGCACTGGAATAGCACTGGGTCAAAAAAAGGACATAAAATTGGACACTTCTCACTTAACAACTGTCTGGAAACTCTGGTGCCAATTAGTGGCCCTACGTCGACTTACCTGTACAGAAAAAAACAAGGTAGGCCAGGACAAAGAAGTGGGTGGAGAAGAATGGGAGAAAAACTAAATTTTGATTGAATGAATTGGAGTTTCAGATTAATTCGATGAATTCAATCCAGGTATTATGTGTTGTGGTCCGCCAACAGCCTGCAGAGCTGGCAGCCGAGTTGGACAGTGAGGAGGCTGGGAAGGACCATGGGCCAGTCCTGGAGTCTGGGGAAGGCTCGGACAAGGGCTCTGTGTCGGAGGCAGAGAAAGGGCCATCTGGGAGGGATGTGCTGCCTCTGGAGCCTCCAGAGTCGGACTTCAGCGAGGGAGAGAAACAGGGGGAGCCTGTTCCCAGTGTGCACATGCGCAGAGCTGCCAGAAGGCAAGAACAGTTAAAACAAAAGGGACGACTCGGGAATAGGGCTTGGAAATGATTGGCCCCTCCCATAAGACTTAAAAGAGGAGCAAAGGCAAGTGGGCCTTTGCAGGAAGCAACTTTGTTCGTTCTGTTCAGTTTAAAGTCTGAAGCTCTGTTTGATTCTGGAATCCCTGTGGCTTTGCCAATTAGGTCTTTGGCAGCGTGTCAAGGGAGATAAAGGTGGTGATTATCAGCCTTATCCCGAAGGACTCTTTACAACTATTTGGGACTCCTCTGTGAATGAACAAGAATTCACAGCTGTTAAAATAAAACAGGGTTTTGGGACTCCGCGTGTATTTTACTGACTCAGGAAGCCTAGGTCAGAACATTGCGATTCGTATCGCTGATAGGAAATAAATTCCCCTTCTGATCACCCTAGAGACGACACGGCCAATTCCTGGCGCTGTCCCAGGAACCTCGCCGAAGACTTTTGTAGGAGCAAATTCCACAAGTATAATTCATCCATTGGCAAATGATTAATTGGACTGAGTTAAGAGCGTTGATATCTCTGGAACTGGCAGGTATCATGAGTTGGTTTTTTTTTTTGTGATTTCTCTCTAACTTTTGGACCTTCCATGCCGTACAACAGGCTGCCCCGCCTGTTGCGTGGAGACCGTGACTCAACCATGTTCAGGCTTTTAACGGCACCAGTTCTTCTCCTTACAGGAAGACTATACATTTATTATTATTTTTTATTATTATTATTATTATTATTATTATTATTATTATTATTATTATTATTTAATTAATTTGTATACCGCCCTTCTCCAACAGGACTCAGGGCGGTGAACAGCCACGGTAAAAACACAACATATAAAATTTAAAAACAATTTAAAAAACATTAAATAATTTTGGCTATCCATTTAAAACAACCCGGATTAAAACCAATTACAAATTAAAACCGAAGGGATGGGATCAAGCCAGCCCGGCTAGGTTGAAAAAGATGTGTTTTCAGGACTCCGAGAGTGAAGGAGAGCAGTTGGCAAGGCCTCCCTCTCCAGGACCCTCCTCTCTGGCAATGCCTTCGGTGTCCGCCGAAGGGCAAGAGATAGGGCCGGGGCCAAGCACGTCCACGCAGCCACAGATGGACAGTGATGAGGGTAATGAGTCTTGGCTGGATCCACGCCAGTGTCGCAGAGATAAGCGCGCGCAACAGAAGAAAAGGCATGCCCGAGATTAGGCTGAGTCACTGGACCACACCCCACAGGATATAAAAGGGAGCGTGGTGGCCAGTCAAACCTTGTGACGAACAAAGCTGAAAGCTTCCACGCCATTCTGCATTGCCGGACTTTTTGCTATAGACTTTGCTGGATTATCTCTGGACTTGATTAACTCCGTAATTATTGAGCTGTTTCTTTTGATGTATCAGAAGTGGGGAGAAGTTATCTCTCCTCTTCGTAAATAATAAACTCTTGGCAGGCAGCCACTAGGTTGTTGCCAAGTTCCGTTATCATAAGGAAAAGGATTTTGCCGGTTGGTTTGGTCTTTAACTCTTGAACGTCTGTTGGTGTGTGTGCGCGTGTGGTTGGGGACAGAACACAGAGGGATGAAAGAGCCACATGCGGCTCCAGAGCCGCGGGTTGCTGACTCCTGCTTTAGGTACTCAATTGTAATTTATTTAAAGTCAATCCCAGCATGTGTTTGTTGACTCAAGAAAGCAGTGTACTCCATGCCTTAAACCAGGGGTGGGGATCCATGGCTCTTTTATGACATGTGGATTTCAATTCCCAGAATTCCTGAGCTAGCCAGGAATTCTGGGAAGTGAAGTCCCCAAGTCATAAACGGGCCATGGTTCCCCACCCCAGCTCTAACAGCTTCTGAATAATCCCTTCAGGGCCACCAAGGCGCTCTATATCAGGGTTAAACTACTGATGTGGCCTTCTTGCTCAGTTTTTATTCCTTTCTTCCCCACCCATTTAGAAGCATTGCCACTACCAGGGATATGTCGAAGGCGTCTCAGATTCTACAGTTGCAATCAGCACCTGCTTCGGGCTCAGGTAAACGAGCTACCTGTTGGACTTGTTCGTAGGTAGGGAAGAAGCTGACAAGCATCGGTCCAGAAGTGATTTAGCGCTTTGAGTTGCCCCCCTTCCCCTTTTAAAAATCCTTTGGTTGTCTTCTTCTCTCCTCCCCTTCCCCCCCTTCCTCTCCTCCCTTTCCTTCCACTCTCCATTCCTCCCCTCCTCTCCTCTTTCCTCTTCACCCCTCAATGCAGAGCATGAGTTTAGTTCTCGTAGCCTTATAACCAGTACCTGGTTGATAAAGCAATTACGCACGCAGATGGGTGTGACTAAAAAGCGCCTCCTGGCACAGTCCCAAAAATGCCCATTATTTCTGTATATTTGAGTCTTAATTTCTTTTCTTTTTTTATTGCAACACATTAATACAATACAAAAACATACAACATTTATATGCATACACTCTTTTTTCCACCTCTTTCGTAGTGGTCCTTACTTCATATTTACTATTTATACGAATTTTGATTTTATCTTGATCCATATCACTCTCTGTCCCCTTCATTTCATTTACATTTTAATTGTTCTTCACATTTCAATCACTATATCGCAATTTACCAAATTACCCCCATTTTATTTTACTACTTCTTTTTCTGCCCTTTATTCTTCTTTCTCGTTTTTCCTTTCCTCCAACCACTCTTTAACCGCCTTGAGTCTTAATTTCTGTGGGTTTTTTTTAATTATTATTTATTAACTACTAAACATGACGTTCCATAGCTCCTTTGAGATTCAGGCCCATCGTTTGGAAAATGAGGCTGTTACTATCGGTTCTGTGGGCGTGGCTTGGTGTGTGGGGGGGTAATGTGACTGGGTGGGCGTGGCCAATTTTTTAAAAAAAAAACTTTTAAAACCATTTTTTCTACAACCTCTTCGTCGAAGAGGCTCTAAAAAAATGCTTTCAAAAGGCTCTGACGATCCCAGCTGAATTGCCTGATCGTCAGAGGCATTTTTTTTTTCTTTTAAATGCCTCTGCATATCAGGCAACTCAGCTGGGATCTACAGAGGTTTTTAAAAGAAAAAATTCTGCAGATCAGGCAACTCAGCTGGGATCGTCAGGAGGTTTTTAAAAGAAAAAATGCCTCTGCAGATCAGGCAACTCAGCTTGGATCGTCAGAGGCTTTTAAAAGAAAAAATGCCTCTGCAGATCAGGCAACTCAGCTGGGATCGTCAGAGGCTTTTAAAAGAAAAAATGCCTCTGCAGATCAGGCAACTCAGCTGGGATCGTCAGAGGCTTTTAAAAGAAAAAATGCCTCTGCAGATCAGGCAACTCAGCTGGGATCTACAGAGGTTTTTAAAAGAAAAAATGCCTCTGCAGATCAGGCAACTCAGCTTGGATCGTCAGAGGCTTTTAAAAGAAAAAATGCCTCTGCAGATCAGGCAACTCAGCTGGGATCGTCAGAGGCTTTTGAAAGCATTTTTTTCTACAACCTGTGAAGAGGTTGTAGAAAAAAATGCTTTTAAAAGCCTTAGACGTGCGATCATCAGAGCCCTTTTTTTCACTTTTAAAAGCATTTTTTTCGGCCAAAGAGGTTGTAGAAAAAATGCTTTTAAAAGTAAAAAAAAAAAGCCTCTGATGATTGTGCGGCTCAGCTGGGCAATGGTGGGGGGGGGCAGGGATTTTTGCTACCGATTCTCCGAATCACCCGCCGCCATCGCTACCGGATCGGGCGATCCGGTCCGAACCGGGAGCATTTCACCCCTGGGCTGACGTCTTAAGGTGGGTTGTCATTGCCAGGGGCATAGTACAGATGCAGGACGTCACCTATGGGATTGAGCCCATCAACTCAACTTCTTACCATGCTGTCTACCGGATGAAGAATGTGAAGAAAGAGCCCCGGAGCTGCGGCGTCTCTCATCTGGAAGGAAACTGGGAAACCGCCGATGCTCAGCACCATCCAGATGTTCCTCTAATGGCGAGAGTAGGTTGTCTTACGGAAGGGATTCCTTTTTTTTACAGTTGGCTATTTGCAGGAATGGCTGTCATTTTTTTTTTTAAATCCCCCTCTTTGTTAAATTTAATAGAAGAAGAAGAAAAAAAAAATACATTATTAGACCATCTGTGTCAGGGGATAATTATCTCGAAAGCACAGTAGACAATATGCATGTTAGGCCTGAAAGCCAGCTGGGTGAGTTTGGACTACAGATGTCAAGATCTCTGAGCTTGGTTGTTTTCTTGCAGATGTTTTCATTGCCCAAACTAGGCAACATCATCACTGGCACTGATGAGGTTACCTAATTCGGTAATGAGACGCCTGCAAGAAAACGACCAAATTCAGAGAACAGCAAGGACCACACAGTCCTCCTCCTCCTCCTCCTTCCCCCCTCCCCCCTCCCCCCTTCCTCCTCCTCCTCCTCCCCCCAATCCCTGAAAATCCCAGTCCCTTCTAGCACTGATGAGGTTACCTAATTCGGTAATGAGACGCCTGCAAGAAAACGACCAAATTCAGAGAACAGCAAGGACCACACAGTCCTCCTCCTCCTCCTCCTTCCCCCCTTCCTCCTCCTCCTCCCCCCCTCCTCCCCCCAATCCCTGAAAATCCCAGTCCCTTCTAGCATTGATGAGGTTACCTACTTGGGTAATGAGATGCCTGCAAGAAAATGACCAAGTTCAGAGAGCAGCAAGGACCACACAGTCCTTCCTCCTCCTTCCTCCTCCTCCTCCTCCTCCCCCTCCTCCTCCTCCTCCTCCCCCCAATCCCTGAAAATCCCAGTCCCTTCTAGCATTGATGAGGTTATCTACTTGGGTAATGAGATGCCTGCAAGAAAACGACCAAGTTCAGAGAGCACAAAGGACTCCGCTGCCCTCCTCCTCCCTGCAAACCCCAGTCCCTTTCTAGCACTGATAAGGTTACCTAGTTGGGTCATGAGACACCTGCAAGAAAACGATCAAACTCAGAGAGCACCAAGGACCTGAGATACAAATATTCTCCTTTATTAGTAAAGATGCTTATGTCAACCAGGTATTTGCTTGATCCCGAAGCTTGACATGTATGTTAAAAAGGGACAGAGTACATTCAATGGCCTCTGCCATTTTGATATCGCTGATCCCCCTTGAATAAAAATGTGTCCTCCTCCTCTTAAAGCGCCATCATGAGACTCAGAAACATAATTGGCATACGACGAAACCTAAAGAATATCCTGGACGTTGCTACAGGGTTTCAAGGTCCTATTAGAAATTCTACTAGCAGTGTTAAAGGAGTGTGTACTGTAGTATGAATTTGAGATTCAGGACAGAAATGTTAGTTTGTTATGAATCCCTGTGTTTTTTTTTTTCTTTTTGGTAGAGGAAAAGAAGCGTTCTTCAACAGACAAGATACGTGGAGCTCTTCATCGTTGTAGACAAAGAAAGGGTATGATGCTTCTATCTATCTATCTATCTATCTGTCTGTCTGTCTGTCTGTCTGTCTGTCTGTCTGCCTGCCTGCCTGCCTGCCTGCCTGCCTATCATCTCTATATCTATCATCTATCATCTTTATATCTATCTATCTATCTATCTATCTATCTATCTATCTATCTATCTATCTATCTATCTATCTATCTATCTATCTATCTATCATCTATCTATCTAACATCTATCATCTCTATATCTATCTATCATCTCTATATCCATCTACCTACCTACCTATCATCTCTATATCTATCATCTATCATCTCTATATCTATCATCTATCTATCTATCTATCTATCTATCTATCTATCTATCTATCTATCTATCTATCTATCTATCTATCCACTTACCTACCTATCATCTATCTGTCTGTGTATATTGCTAATCATCTATCTGCCTGCCTGCCGGCCTACCTACCTTCCTACCTATCATCTCTATATCTATCTATCATCTATTATCTCTATATCTATCTATCTATCTATCTATCTATCTATCTATCTATCTATCTATCTATCTATCTATCTATCCATCCATCCATCTACCTACCATCTATCTGTTTGTGTAAATTGCTAATCTATCTGTCTGTCTGCCTGCCTGCTGCCTGCCTACCTACTTACCATCTCTCTGTCTGTGTATCTATTGCTAATCATGTATCTATCATCTACCTACCTACCTACCTCCATCCATCCATCCATCCATCCATCTATCACCTCTCTATCTATCACCTATCTATCTGTCTGTATCTCTCATCTGTCTATCTGTCTACCATCTCTCCATCTCTCTGTGTATCTCTAAATCATCCACCCATCCATCCATCACCTCTCTGTCAGTCTATCTATCTATCTATCTATCTATCTATCTATCTATCTATCTATCTATCTATCTATCTGATAAAGTTGTTACAAGTTTTTATAAGATTTTCATCGTCATAAATCAGGTTGCACGGAGCCTCTGGGTCAGCAAGGCAGTCATTGGCTAACCTAAACGGGATTGGCTTGTAATCCTGCCCAAAGTTTTAATGCCTTTGAGGGATCCCTTGGCTGCCACGATGATGTGTGCCCCAACCTCTTTTTTCCCCCCTTCTTTTTCTCACAGTACTATTTGTTAGGCCAGAATAAAACGGCAGTCAGAGAAGAGATGGTGCAGCTGGCAAACCTTCTGGATAGTGTAAGTGGAAGAATTTTCATGGCAAATGCGCAGAATGTCAAATCTGTTGTTTGCTGTTCCCAAAACGTTTTGTACTGACAATAATGTTGATGATAACAGAGACAAGCAATCCTCGACATACGATCCTAATTGGGACCGGATCGTCTTGTTTCTGAGAGTTGCAGTTGTTAATAGCAATAGCAATAAGCACTTAGACTTATATACCGCTTCACCGTGCTTTTACAGCCCTCTCTTAAGCGGTGTACAGAGTCAGCCTCTTGCCCCCAACAATCTTGAGTCCTCATTTTACCGACCTTGAAAGGATGGAAGGCTGAGGCAACTCAGCTGGGATCGTCAGAGACTTTTCAAAGCATTTTTTTTTACCACCTCTTCGGCCACGAGGTTGCAGAAAAAAATGCTTTGAAAAGCCTCTGACGATCCCAGCTGAGCCGCGCGATCATCAGAGGCTTTTTTTTTTTTTATTTTTAAAAGAATTTTTTTTCGGGAGGAGATGGTGTAAAAAATGTTTTTAAAAGCGGGGAAAAAAAAGCCTCTGATGATCGTGCGGCTCAACTGGGGATTGGGGGGGATTTTTGCTACCGGTTCTCCGAACCACCCGCCACCATCGCTACCGAATCGGGCGATCCAATCCGAACCGGGAGCATTTCACCCCTGCTCTTTGCCCTTTCCAGATGTACATCATGCTAAACATCCGCATTGTGTTGGTCGGCCTGGAGATCTGGACGCTCGAAAACAAGATCCGGATGGAAGGAGCCGCCGGAGACGTCCTTGCCAATTTCGTGCAGTGGAGAGAGCGGGATCTGATTCCCCGCCGACGGCACGACAGCGCCCAGCTTGTTCTGTAAGATGTGGGCACCCCCTTCTTCTGGGCAAAGAGGCCACACACTCTGTCCACACAAAAGCCCTACAGGTAGTCCACGACATAACAACCACAATTCGGGCCAGAACGTCCGTTGTTAAGCAAGGGCTGTTGCTAAGTGAGTCACGGCCAATTTTACGGCCTTCATTGCCATGGCTGCTAACCCAAATTACTCCAGCTGTTGGTAAGCGAATCTCGCTTGACTCGGCTTGTCTGAAGCCCAGCTGGAAAGATCGTAAATGGCTATCATGTGAGCATGGGACATTGCATCATTGGTTTAGGGACGGGGTACTTACGGGACCACTTTCTGCCACCAATTGCCTCCCACCGGCCGGTTCGCTCCCACAGAGAGGGCCTCCTCAGGGTGCCGTCGGCCAGACAATGTCGGCTGGCGACCCCCAGGGGGAGAGCCTTCTCTGTGGTGGCACCTACCCTCTGGAGCAATCTACCCCCAGAGATACGAGTGATCCCAGACCTCCGGACTTTTCGTCGGGCCCTAAAAACCTATTTTTTTTCAGTTAGCCGGGCTGTCCTGATTTTACGGTTGGCTTTATAATTCGATATGGATTTTAATCGAAAAGTTTTAAATGACGGGCCAAATTTATTTCATTATTTTAAATCTATTTTTAACTTTTGTGTATAAATGTTTTTTATCTTGGCTGTTCACCGCCCTGAGTCCGAAAGGAGAAGGGCGGTATTGGAATCTGAAAAATAAATAAATAAATTAATTAATTAATAGCTGCCCGTTTTGATCATGTTGGCCGCGGAGATACTGCAACAGTTGTTAAGTTGTTTTTCGGCGCTCTTAGAACTTGAAATGGTCACGACTCCGAATGGTTTAAGTTGAGGACTACCTATTCCTGTAGACAAGATTCCCTTGGGCAGCGTCCTGCCAGTCCCTCTAATCTAGAGATTCCAACCTTATTTATTTATTTATTTATTTATTTATTTATTTATTTATTTATTTATTATTTATTTATTTATTTATTCATTTCATTCATTCATTCATTCATTCATTCATTCATTCATTCATTCATTTAATTTGTATATCGCCCTTCTCCCAGAAGGGACTCAGGGCGGTGAACAGCCAAAATTAAAAAAAACATACAAATACAAAAGTTAAGATAATTAAAAAGAATTAAATCACTAGCTTCCCAATTTAAAACCCCCAAATCCATAAAATTTAAAATCCCAATTTAAAAACCATTTAGGCTAGGCCAGCTTGATGGAATAAATAAGTCTTCAGGGCTTTACGGAAGGTCCGGAGGTCCGGGATCAGTCGTATTCCAGGACGCAGCTCGTTCCACAGGGCGAGTGCCCCCACCTTGGCAACTTTTAAGACTTGTGGACTTCAACTCCCAGAATTCTCCAGCCAGCCATGTTTAATGGCCATCGGACAATAGTTTACTTTCGGACAAAAGCAATTCTTAATGTTTAACTGCCATTAACAAATGTGGGTTATTTTCCTCTCTACTATAGGAGGAAGGATTTTGGTGGCACAGCTGGGATGGCTTACGTGGGCACGGTGTGCTCCAAAAGTCACTCTGGAGGCATTAATGTGGTAAGCTGCTGCTATTACCTGCACCTCCGTTAAGTTAAAATTATTTATTTATTTATTTTATTTATTTATTTTTATATGCCGCCCTTCTCCGGAGACTCAGGGCGGCTTACAATGCGTTAAGCAATAGCCTTCATACTTTTGTATATTTTATACAAAGTCAGCTTATTGCCCCCACAAACCGGGTCCTCATTTTACCCACCTTAGAAAGGATGGAAGGCTGAGTCAACCTTGAACCTGGTGAGAATTGAACTCACAGTAATTGCAGGCAGCTGGATGTTAAATGCTGCCTTAGTAGGAGGCATTATCCTCCTACGCCATTCAGGCTCCTCTAAAGTTAAAGATAAAATTACAGCTTTTGTGACTGTGACAGAAAGGGCAGCAGAGGCTGTCCTCCACTTACGACACTTACAATGGAGCCCCGCATTTCCATTGCGAAACAAGACGGGGGTTGAATGACAGTTTGTTCCGTTGTACGACCTTTCTTGCCACCGTTGTTAAGCGAGTCACTGCAAGTGGCAGTTAGTCGCACGGTTATTAAGTGAATCCGGCTTCCCCGTTGACTTTGTTTGCGAGAAGGTCACAAAAGGGGAATCACGTGACTCCCGGGGACACCGCCACCGTCGTAAGTACGAGTCAGTGGCCAAGCTTCCACATTTTTTTCTTTTTTTTTTCTTTCTTAGTTTATAATACATAATACAAAAGTACAAAAGAAAATAGTAGGAAAAAGAAAGGAAGGAAAAAATGTGAGGCAAGGAGAAACGAAAGAAAGAAAAAGAGCCTTGGTAGTACAGTGGTCTAAAGCACCCTGTTATTAAGACCAGCTGCCTGCAATTACTGCAGGTTCGAATCTCGCCAGGCTCAAGGTTGACTCAGCCTTCCATCCTTTCTAAGGTAGGCAAATTGAGGACCCAGTTTGTGGGGGCAATAAGCTGACTTTGTATAAATATACAAAAGGATGAAGGCTATTGCTAAGCACATTGTAAGCCGCCCTGAGTCTCCGGAGAAGGACGGCATATAAATCAAATTAAAAAAGAAAAAAAAAAGCATTGATTTCCGATTCCTTTTGATGCAGTAGAATAAGAGAATAACATCAAAACTCAACTTTTTACTTTTACATAATAATGCAAACCAGGGTGGATTTGATTTAAATTGAGTTGATTTAAATCACAATTTAAATCATGATTTAAATCACTAGTAAAAAGGCTTGATTTAAATCAACTCGATTTAAATCATAATTTTTAAAGAGCAACTGTCATCTCTGCTACTCCTTTGAGCCACTGTTGAGTCACCGATAGTCCCAGTGTTGCAGAATATACAGCCTCATGCTACATAACTAAGCTCCATTTCATGCTGAATAAACTAAATTATTTATGTATCTTAAATAGAAAACTATCTTACGATAGATTTTTACCCCAAACATTTTTTATTAAAATAAATTCGATAAAAATCAAAAAAATCTGATTTAAATAAAAAAAATCCGATTTAAATAAAAAAAATCTCATTTTTTTGATTTTTTTTTTTTAAATCATTGATTTTTATCCACCCTGATGCAAACTAGCCATTTCCATAACAACAAACCTATTGCCGGTAGTCCTCGACTTACGACCACAATTGAGCCAAGGGCGGTATTCACTTACCTTCGCTTACCGGTTCGCAAATGTGAGCGCGCAAATTTAGGTTGGCGAAGTGAGAACTTTGGTAAATGAATTTTGCCTCATTTTACGATTTTTCATGTCACGTTCGTTAAGCGAGTCACTGCAGTTATTCAATGAATAACTCAGTTGTTAAGTGAATCTGGTCATTCATTCCCTTTCCGTTTTGCAAAACTGGTTGCTTGGAAAGAGCTAGGAAATAGCTTGAGTCCCACGCTGTCTTGCCTACTACTGTTGGTGCACGAATCTCCTGACAAAGGAATCCATGCCGTCTTCTTTCTTCTGTGATATTTTATAGTTTGGACCTACCAGCGTGCAGGCGTTTGCATCCATTGTCGCTCATGAGCTTGGCCACAACCTGGGCATGAACCACGATGACGATAGAAACTGTCACTGTGAAACGGGGAACTGTATTATGAACTCTGGAGCATCGTAAGTAACTCCCAATTCTATTTTCCAAAAGGCATTTTGACTCCTGCTGGTGGAAGATCAAACAGATTCCTGGGAGTTAAAAGTCCACAGGTTGAGCGGATTCCTTATGAACCTAGCAGGTCATTTTTGTCTCCCAAGGGAAGTAGAGGATCAACCATCATCATCTTCTTTTAACGACCCCATAATCGGTGGAGTCTGAGCAACTGAATGGAGCTAGCGGAGTGTTTTAATGGCCGGATGCCCTTCCCTGTCGCCAATGAGGAGTTTTGTTCAGCAGATATATTCTCATCGGGCCCAGAGAGAGAAATATCTGCCGCTACCTAGGATCGAACTCACAGCCTCCGGATTGTGAGGCGAGAGCTCCACCTCTAGGCCACCGTACCACTCCCAAGTAGAGGATCAACCATCCCGGACTTAATTCTCACTAAGAGAGATGAAACGATAGAAGGGGTTGAAGTTATTATGAATCGTCGCACAGTCAGCCAGATGTTCAGATGTTCAGGCATTTTTTGTCTACCGATCGAGTCCTTTCCAAAGACTGGGGACAGACAGATGTTGATGTTTGATGGTGTTATAGATACTGTTTCAGGATTATTATTATAACATGCCCTATTAGCAATCTTGCCTTATTTTGAAGCTAAGTAAAATCCAACCTGGTTAGTACTTGCATGGAAGACTTCTAGGGAATTTCAGAATTGAATAGAATGGCACAACATTGACTCAGCCTTCTGTCCTTCCGAGGTCGGTAAAACGAGGACCCAGATTGTTGGGGGCAATAGGCTGACTCTGTAAACCGCTTAGAGGGGGCTGTAAAAGCACTATGAAGCAGTATATTGTATGTCTAAGTGCTATTGCAGATCAGACCCTCCCTTCCTTCCTTCCTTCCTTCCTTCCTTCCTTCCTTCCTTCCTTCCTTCCTTCCTTCCTTCCTTCCTTCCTTCCTTCCTTCTTGCCATAGTGGCGCAGTGGTTAGAATGGAGTATTGCAGGCTAATTCTGCCGACTGCCAGCAGTTCGATCCTCCCTGGCTCAAGGTTGACTCAGCCTTCCCTCCTTCTGAAGTGGGTCAAATGAGGACCCAGATTGTTGGGGTCAAGAGGCTGACTCTGTAAACCGCTTAAGAGAGGGCTGTAAAGCACGGTGAAGCAATATATAAGTGCTATTGCTGTCTTCCTTCCTTCCTTCCTTCCTTCCTTCCTTCCTTCCTTCCTTCCTTCCTTCCTTCCTTCCTTCCTTCCTTCCTTCCTTCCTCTCTCCCTCCCTCCCTCCCTCCCTCCCTCCCTTCCTCTCAGTGGTTAGAGTGGTGCATTGCAGGCTAACTCTGCCCCTTGCCAGGAGTTCGATCCTGACTGGCTCAAGGTTGACTCAGCCTTCCCTCCTTCCGAGGTGGGTCAAATGAGGACCCAGATTGTTGGGGGCAAGAGGCTGACTCTGTAAACCGCTTAAGAGAGGGCGGTAAAGCACTGTGAAGCGATATATATAGTAAGTCTAAGTGCTATTGCTATTGCAATTAACAACTGCTATTAATGGTGACTAGGGATGAGGCTTGCCCATTCACAAAAAGGCTGCCCTATGCCAGAACCATTTATCAAGCACCAGTCAATCAAACTGCTCTCTGCCATCCCTCTAATTTCACTTCCAAACTGAAAGGCTCTCGAAATCTCCCCCTCTTTGTAGAGGTGCCAGGAATTTCAGCGCCTGCAGCGAGGAAGACTTCGAAAAGCTAACCCTGAACAAGGGCGGAAGCTGCCTTCTCAACATCCCCAGGCCTGAGGAAACCTACAGCATCCCATACTGTGGCAACAAGCTTGTGGATGCGGGAGAAGAGTGTGACTGTGGGTCAGTGGAGGTAAGTAACACACGAAAACAGAGGTGATATTCAGCCGGTTTAGACCGGTTCGCCTGAACCGGTTGCGGAAATCGCAGGTGGGCCTACCCAGCCGTCCCGGCTCTATGCCATCCTATTTAGGCATGTTTTTGATGCATGTTTATGTAGAAGGCCGGGCGTATGTGTAGAAGACAGGCGCGCGTGCGAACCGGGCACATGTGCACATGAAGCGAGCACGCGTGCGCGACAAACCAGTAGTAACATAATGTGAAACTCACCGCTTCACGTAAAGACATCTTTGTTGCCAGGGCCAGTGTGAGCTTCCAACCAGTTAGAAAGGTGAATAAAATTTCAAGAAAACAAGGGGAAAAATTGGAAGTTGCCGATAGACAACGATATGTGCTTTAAGACTTACGTTTCCCCTGAAGAACTGCCTAATGGTTGAGTTATGAGGAATGCAGCGCTCCCCAAAAATCTTGAGTTGAGGCCGGGGTAAAAGTGAAGAATCCTTTGCACACGGACGGTTGTGTGTAGGAACGCGCAGATCTCCTTGTCTGCAACATACAAATCAGACTTTCCTCTTTTGGTTAGGAGACGGGGCTGAAAACGCCTGGAAGTGTGTTACCTTCGTATGGGTTGGTCTTTTTCAGGAGTGTAAATCTGATCCCTGCTGTGAGGCAGGAACTTGCAGGCTTCGCTCAGGATCCGGCTGCGGCTACGGAGATTGCTGTAAAGATTGTCAGGTAACAAATTCTGTTCTGTTCTGTTATTCTGTTCTGTTCTATTCTGTTCTTATTCTGTTCTGTTCTGTTCTATTTTGTTCTTGTTGCTGATCCTGTTCCTGTTCCTGTTCTGTTCTATTCTTCTGTTCTGTTCTAGTCTGTTATTCTGTTCTATTCTATTCCTGTTCTGTTCTGTTCATATTCTGTTCTGTTCTATTTTGTTCTTGTT